ATCCGTATAATTTCCACTGCACATTTTAACATATCTCTGATTATACACGTCATTACAACAACAGTTCCAGCAATGTAGTGGCCAGGATTTATTTTCTAGAAATAGTACACAAAAGTTTCTTTTTCTTTTTTTAAAGTTCCAGTACTGCCCACAAGGTACCTATTATAGAAGTGCTGCCAAAAAATGCCTTAAAACATGAAGAAACTTGACACCATTGCGTAGCACCAGAAAAAAAAAAGCACTGATTGCGTACTGTTATAATAAATGTTAAGTGTGAATACTCTTATTGTGGTGTCAAATGACCCAAACAAAATGTGCTTTATACTTAACCGCAAACTAATTTTGCAAGGCTGTTGAAAGCACAAACTAACCCTGTAATGATTGCTGCAAACACTATTCCACCATAACTTCTTCGCTTGCTCAGATATTTAAAAAAAAAAATTTCCAACTGTGCTTCATTGTATTTTTGGTCTGCTAAAGAATATGGATAACCCTGTTGATTTTTTTCCCCCCAGCATCTACAATCTGTACGTGTTTCTGATTCACTTCTATATGGACACACATCATTTCTGTATGTGTTTGTGAACTTCTGTGTGGACACATCTATAGCCTGGTATATTATGATGTCTCATATCAGTGCATTACTAATGGACCCAATTAAATACCGTGAAATACACCAGGCAATAAACTGTGTAGTGTATTATTTGTATCCAAGTGATTTAAATACATTAAATTCACAACATAAAAACATTGTTTTGAATTTCTATGTAGTCCTTTCTGGCACATCTGACTGCCAACTTCAGTAGCCACAGTATTTGTGAATGTCACTGGGCTGGGCAACCATGACAACCGAGGTATGTCTGGCCACTCATTATGATAAATGTAAAATGTGACTAGGAAGTCTTAAAATCAAAACAAATGCATACAATGGAATGTTTCCATCAAAGCTGTCAATGAACTAATTATGAGTGAACAAAAATGTTTAACTGGCAACTAAACATCCAAAAGTAGCATCTAAGTGAAAACAAATGCTCTGTACATATCCTATATTTTATGTGTTTGGTGTCAATAATCACCTCAAAACTCTTTCAGCAGTAAAATTAAATAAGTAAAAAAGGATACCTTTCACGATATTAGCACATTAGGCATTTGATGCTAAACACACATTTATATAGGTCATACGACACTAATGGGGGGATGTGCTTAATATTTTGTTGGCCATCTTTACATACCAGGGCATTTCCTGGTACCATTTTAGGCTGCATCAGTCCTGGAAGCCAGGCCAGTTATAACAATACACCTTGAAAGATCTCATATTCATGACTTTTGAGCCGACAAACAAGTGTCAAGCTGCTGTGGTTTCCTAATCTTTAAGTAGTGATTTCCAAACTGCATGAATCCAACATGTGGTCAATTAAGGTGACAGTGCATAATTCCACAGATTTATTAATCTTCCTTACTACCCCCTGAGCCTGTGATGCTAAACCCCCTGGGACTCAAAGAGTTGAACATTGAGCTAACTTACTCTTGTGGTGCCATTATATCCGAAACTGCTAGAACAAGCCATCAATTGCAAGAGTATATAAATTTAAATGCAGCGGTTTGAAACTGATGATGAACTGCAGACAGGCGTTAATGAATGGTTTAAGACTCTGGCGGCGGACTTCTATGACACTGGAATAAGAACCTGTGCCATGATACCAAAAATGTGTTGACCTCAATGGTGTCAACATTGACTTTGTTGAGAAACAATGTAAATGTGTAAAATCATTGTTATATATGATGGGTTGTTGTTGTTTTTTAAAATATTATACTGAGACTTATCAAAAAACATGCCTCATAACTATACTAATAAATTGTTTTAAAATGTATTTATCTACATTTTGAAAACTTTTTCCTCTCGAAATATATATAAGCATGGACTGAATGAAGCATTAAATGGTATAAATTTCCAGGGATCTAATATAAATATGTATCAGGTGACTCATGCCGTGACCCCATGACCGCCATCACTAAGGTTAATGGGAAAAATTTATGTCACCTGGCTTAAAAAAAGCTACTGGATTCATAAAGCAACCTCCTAAATGCTATTTTTAGGTAATATATTCATACCTGGGTCTCCTTAACACTATGCAGGTGAACACTGAACTACTTAACTACTATACTTTTGTAGAACAGGTCCTTGCAGATATCAATATTTACGGGACTGCGTTACAACTGGAAATGACTACATTTAGTCTTCTCGCGGCAACAGGGTTAAACATGAACTATACAGAAATTGTGACATACAAGTGACTGTCCGGATTCTTTGTTTTGTAAAAAGTACAGACAGAGCAGTACAAGCATAATTATGGAACTGGTAATGTGAGAAAATGATGAATAATATAAGAAAAATATTAAAAGAACTGCAAAAGTTAGCAAAGGGAGGAAGGACCTGCCATGAAATAATTGAGGTCCTGTGTTTCTTTAAAAAAAATGGGGGGGGGGGGGGAATATATCTTATCCTACATATTGTTATACAATAATAATCACAGAAATACATAAATACAAACATCCCAGTACATGCATTCATTCAGCACATCTGGCAAGTGGAAAGCTTGCCTGTCTTCTCAAATGCACAATCAACCTTCTCCTAACCAGATCTGATTAAATGAAATAACCAGCCCACATCAGTGAACATGACCCTACAGGACTGCCACATTGTCTTCCCGTGCCATATCAAGTAATATAATTTACTGTATGTTCTTTGGAGAAACATCTGGTAGCGCTAACAGTGGGGGCCCAAAAGGGTCCACCTGTTTGACAGAGATAAGTAGATATTAACAACATGGACAACTGTTCAGCTCCAGAAGATTTAATAATATACAAATAGCAAATGTTTTCAGTTCCAGATAAAATGAAAGTGTAAGACTGTTTATCATCATCATCATCATCATCATCATCATCATCATCATCATCATCCTCAAATATCATGCTAAATGGGTGATTATACTACTCGATTCAGAACTTGTCCCTTCCAATAATATTTATATATCAGTTTGTGTGCTGAAACTTCTACATATCATAAGAAAACGTTTCTGAGAATATTCTTTCATAGTCTTCCTTTATTTCTCTTTCTATCTTCCTGTGTCTCTCTTTCTATAAATCTTTCAAGTTTTTCTTTTCTCAGAATGTGGCCCACAAAATGGCTGCCTTTTTCTGCCTGTGGTAAATTGTCTTCACGTCTTAGCCTCTTTTCAAAACCTTTAGACTATTAATAATGGATGGAGACAGAAATTTAAAAATTCTTGTGTAAAACTAGTCTAGCTATTATCAACATTTTCATTTTCTGCAAAAACTATTACAACATTCTAGACTTCATGACTTTTCCACAGCGCAGCATATCAGCTCTGTGTGTCTTTATAATAAGCAGACTAGCTTACCCTCAGAAACTGTTGATGCTACAAGTGGTATATATTTCACATGACTACATCTATGGTGTTGGGTTAAAGAGCTAGACTTTCACATATTCTAGGTTGCAACCGATGAGACAGGGTTTTCAGTTTCCTCTGTTATTACCTGCGTTCCCAGAGAATAAGTCAAGCCAAGAAACAGTATGGGCCCTTTTCAGTGACAAACTAGGCATACAGTGCTAGGCCCAGATTTGTGTAGGCTAACTGACTGGGTGCTTGATATGGTCAGCATTATGTTAGTGCCCTGTTTTTAGCAGGGCCCCCTTTTTTAATCTAGGCCAACCTAAAGGCCATGTCAATTATCCACCTCAATGTGGATTCGACCCTAAGGGCTGGCATAGCCACAGCAAACAATTCTATAAAAAAAAACATCTATCAATTTTTATGAGATCAGGTTAGCCTCAGGGCCATATTTGTATGAAAAATAATACCCTGCATCTGCTGGAGATTAAAACTAGATCATTATCTTGTCAGACAATTGAAACCAAATCACTGTCTTGGCCTACTATTACAACTAGATCACTATCTTGGCAGACTATTACAACTAGATCACTATCTTGTCAGACAATTGAAACCAAATCACTATCTTGGCAGACTATTACAACTAGATCACTATATTGGCAGACAATTGAAACCAAATCACTATCTTGGCAGACTATTACAACTAGATCACTATCTTAGCAGACGATTGAAACCAAATCACTATCTTGGTAGACTATTACAACTAGATCAACTTCTTGACAGAAAATTAAAACCAGATTACTATCCTGATGGAGAATTGAAACCAGATCACTGTCTTGACAGACAATTGAAACCAGATCACTATCTTGTCTGAGAATTGAAAAATCACTGATAACAGACAATTGAAACCAGATCACTATCTTGTCTGAGAATTGAAAACAGATAACAATCTTTGCAGAAAATTGAAAACAGATCACAATTTTGGCAGACAATTGAAAACAGATCAATTTTGGCAGACAATTGAAAACAGATCACTATTTTGATAGACAATTGAAAGCAGATCACAATTTTGGCAATGACTGAAACCAAATCACTATTTTTGTAGACAATTGAAACTAGTTCACTATTTGGCAGGCAACTGAAACCAGATCACTATTTTGGTAGACAATTGAAACTAGATACCTATTTTGGCAATGACTGAAACCAGATCACTATTTTGGCAGGGGACTGAAACCATATCGCTATTTTGGTAGACAATTGAAACTAGATCACTATTTGGCAGGCGAATCACACCAGATCACTAATTTGGTAGGCGACTTAAACCAGATCACTATCATGGCAGACAAGTGTAATAACAACTATGCAGTTGTGGATACATGTAAAACATCACAGATTTCCAGACTTACATCAACATGAGGGTTTTTCTTTACATCCAGCACAAGGTCTGTTGCAGCTTTGCCGTACAGTCTACGTGCCCTGCCCCAGTTGGCTTTAACCTCTGTATGTAATCTCTGGTGACTGGCAGGGGTGAACGGCTTGCCGGTGGAGATGGACAGAAGCTGGTCACGCTGGATATCTTCAAAATCTTCAATCTGTTAGGTTCATCAGAAGATTCCACATGTAAAAATATTTCAAGATTTGAAAACAAAATGTTTGGCAACATTAAAATGTCTGCAAGCAAGATTTACAACTGTTCAGGTACCAGCCTCACAAAATAAGAATCAGGTGTGATCAAATAAAACCAGTGCCAAAGGTTTCATTACAAATTTGTGAAAAGCATACAGGCATTTCAGAATTAAGCATGCAACTGTTAAGAAGCAAGCATGAGCCCAGAGTCATCAGAAGCAATTCACTGTATGCATGAAGACATGTACCCCATTGCTATAGGGAAATGATGGATATAATCCTCACACTAAGACTTTGGTCATGAACATTAATGTGAATTATATTCAGGGCACTTCAGACATGCCTATAAATCATAGATCTCAATCTATTGCAATATAAACAAGAAAAAAGGATGATGAAGAAATTTAAGGAAATCTTTAAAAAAAAATGTAAACAAAAACAAAACAAATATAAATTTAGAGCAAAACAGATATCTAATATCTCTTAAGTATTTAAGGGCAGACAATTAACTGAGAGGATATTATGTAACCAACAACAAACAAACCCAGTGGTATAAAGCTAAGTAAATAAAGTTTCAGCTGCTGACAGTTGACTTATTGTTTTCTTTGGAAGTGACCCAAAAAGTGCCAACTGGTCTATAAAATAAAATCCAGCACAATATGCCCAATACGCCTGAAGACTTGGAAAAGGGTCCTTTGATTTACTATTTTACTAGCCCCATATTTCTGATGCGCCACTGGTGTGAAAAAGGTTCCTTACTTTTATTTTACTTCACAGTTGAGTGAACAAGGTATGCAGCAGGTCGCAGTTGAGTAAATAATGTTTTTAACAGTTGACAGCTGAGTAAAATTTATACTGTTTATCACTGAGTAAATGATGTTTCCAGTAGTTGACAGTTAAGAAAATAAAGTTTCCAGTAAATGCATGTTTTTAAATGACAAAGTCATTAACAGGGGATTATAGAATATGTGAGAGTTGCAAATAAAACTTAGTAGTTAATAAAATACTGCAATTGGGGGAGTGGTGTGGGGGGGGGGGGGGGGGGGGGGGGGGGGGTAACCTTCAGCACTGTGCTCAAGCTGCCAAAAGTTATTTAGACAGCTGGAAATCAAGGTTACCTTTTTGCCATCCATATCGTATAATATGCAAGGCTGTTTCCAAAAGTTCAGCTTCAAAGATGCACTGTCCAAAATTTCCTGTATAGTGTTTGCCCCAGACATAAACACTTTTATCTGCAGACATCCCGTTTGGGAACACTGCTACACGTTTCTGGGTTGTGGACAAATACATACCAGTGAAATGTGTTATATATTTTGAGCATGGAACAGAAGCTATGAAAACAAAATATATCTGTCATAAAGTTACCTTTATGGTTACTGTACAGTAAATGAGATGCGATTCTCTAATGTTGATGTTAGATGTTGATGTTGTATGATTAGTTTAATATTACTTCAATTCACTGGAGAAATGGAGTTTTGTGCTTGGTGCACCGTTCTTCATGGGGGGAAAGGAATATTTTCAAGTCACGCCAGTGTGTTGGGAAATGTACAGGCAGATAGATCAGCTGGTTTCTACACCACTTGATGTGGAACTAATGCAGGACAAGCTAGATGTTATATGGGTCCTTTGGAATCAAGTGAACAAGACTGGGGCACAAATAGATCATCACGGTCTGAGGAGAATGCTGCTACAAGAAGTGATCAGGGGATCTGATACACTACACTCAAGGTAAAGATGAGGTGGATATTAGTTAGTTAGTTAGTTAGTCTTTCCTCTTGTTTCGAGTGCGGCACATAGGGCAGAGGTCATGACTCTCCATGCATGGCGGTTCGTTGCAATCTGTTGTAGGTCTTGGAAGTTTGAGTGGCCCATGAGCGAGCCTTCCCTGATGATAGTTTCTACATAGAGTTTCCCTTGGTCTTCCACGAGATCTTTCCCCTGTGGTGTCCAAATGAGGGCTTGGTAAGGAAGTCTTGATTTATCCATTCTAAGGGCGTGGCCGACATAGTTCCAGCGGCGTTTTCGGATAAAATTAGACACATACTCTTGCCTGGATTCTTGCCTTATTTGTGTATTGGTTCGGAAGGTGGATATACAATAAGAATATAACTGGCATTGGAACTGCATTAGAATTGGCTGCTGAAGACTTGATGGAGCACTTATGGAAATTTCCAGAGTGTTGCAATGTTAATTCTCAATTTAACATTACCACTAAGCAAAGCCTTTGAAAGTATAACAATGTGTATGCAGCAACTGGTAACTAGTTTTTAAAAATCCACATAAATTAGTTTTAGAGCAGAATGTTAAAAATTCTTTGTGCCATCAAACTGATTAAATCTTCTTCTTCTTCTTCTTCTTCAGCATTCCGAGCCCTTGCTGCAGATATCACTCGCCTCCATTCATCTGCCTTCTATTTTCCGTTGGTGACACCAAGTGTTTGCAGGTCTGTCTGAACATTATCTCTCTATTCTGGCCCTCCAGGTTGGGGGTTGAAGCATGGGGGCAACTCCCTCACCTTTGTGAAACTTCATCTTGTCACAAAACAGACATCTAAGCCTTGATTTAGGATGGATTTAAACGGACAACGAACCTGGATAGTTAAAAGGACTTTTGAGATTTGGAACATGGAATGTACGAGCAATCTAGAATGCAACCTGGAAATAAAGTAAACTACGCCCTTCAATACCTGCTAAAGTTAAAGTGTCTGGTTAAATCTTAAAAGTTACAATCTGACCAATCAATTCTGATCAAAGGATCAACCCTGCTATGTGTCATCTATCAACTTATATATGACACATTTGGGTAAAAACCAGCATATGTGGCTAAACTTGGCTATGCTGATTTCTTGTTTCTATTTATCATTCATCAATACAATTAAAAAAATTAAAAAAACACAGAACATACCATGTTGGGTTGGTCATACAGCTTGCTCTGGAGATTGACTCCTTTAAAAACAACTTTTCCTTCTTGCTGATTGGCTCGAATTTCACTCAGGTGTGTCTGTATAAGATATACAGAAATAAAATAATTTATGTCTGCATCAGTGAGCAGATATTCTGAAGTTAGCTGTCCATTCATTGGCATTAGAAGAAATAGGCTTCTTCATGTTTGCTGGGGGGGAGGGGCAAAATACAAATCCTAACCTGTCCTACACCACCAAGTGGTAAATACAGGCAGTAAGGAAAGTTTCTTTTCTTTTAAATACACAAGGAGAATCTCAGCACTGAGCCAGAGAATGATCAAGCACATGTCTACTGCAATCATACACACACTTGAAGTATTCTTTTGTGGTTAGTTTGTCTCATTGTGAAGTTCCTACTTGAGTAATGGACTTTCCCTTTTTCTTCTTTCTTTCTCAGACACATGCAAAGTGTACACAAGTGCTCACTTGTCTGAGAAGACTAGATGTCTGACCTACTACCCCAGGATCTGGAGGGAGTATCCAGCCCTTTTATTTAAACAAAATCCATAACATTCACACATTATTACTGATCCGTTCAGACGATTTAGTTTTTCATTCTCTGCACAGGCATCAGTCAATAATAAATGTACATAATTTATTAATAAATGGTTTAGCTGTATTCCATGCTTTGCTCCGTACATCAGTAATTATTTAATGTGCTGTTACATTCAATGTGCTGTTACATTCAATATGCTGTTACATTCAATATGCTGTTACATTCAATATGCTGTTACATTCAATGTGCGGTTACATTCAATGTGCTGTTACATTCAATATGCTGTTACATTCAATATGCTGTTACATTCAATATGCTGTTACATTCAATGTGCGGTTACATTCAATATGCTGTTACATTCAATATGCTGTTACATTCAATATGCTGTTACATTCAATGTGCGGTTACATTCAATGTGCTGTTACATTCAATGTGCTGTTACATTTAATGTGCTGTTGAGACAAACTTGTCTCAAGTGCTGTGAAAATGATTAAAACCAAACTCAGAAGAGATGTAGACCTTGCTAATGCTCAGTAAAACACATCCATGAGAGATCCCCAAAAAAATTGCAGCTAGAAAGCATTAATTAACATATAAAAACACAGATACGGATAAAGCTGCATACAAGAGTACACATAATAACATACCATTTTGGATGAAATCCAGTGGCTGTTAAAATATTTAAACATGAACGAATGAGCAAATTATGTTTTCAAAACTTAAGAACTGGACATGTAGGCATGTAGCTTTGCTGCATCATGGATAACAATGGACAGAAAGCGACCCAGAGATCAAGGATGAGTGAAAAGTCAAGATCTATGGGTGAGGTTAAGGAAAATTAAAACCAGGAAATCAGCTGTGAAAGAGTTAGAGGTGGATACAGCACCTCTAGGTCACTTCACCTATGCTACAAAATGATAAAACCAGAATACAGATGCTCTAAAACAAAAACAAAAAAAAACAAAAAAACAAAAAACTATAATTACCTGTAGTTTCTCGATAGAAAGATGTTTGTCTTGTTCCTCTACTGTTGGCGCCTGCCACTGCTGCTCTATCACCACTGGTTGCTGGCTACTCAATGTGGATCGATACACCGCTGGTTTCTTCTGCTCCAAACGTCTGCCCTTCAGTTGTCTCAAAATGTGTTTCTCAATTTCAAGAGCCTGGCAAACCTGAGCTCGAAACTGCCTCTTCTTGCGGAAATTCTCTTCTTTGGATTCTACAGCTGCATGATTATTAATAGAGCTATTTTATTCTGGGTAACCTAGTCACAACACAAGCTACCGCTAAACATCATCATGCAACATGCTGACTGACTGACTGACAACTTTTTCTCGCCAGGCAGCTACATGAAGGTCAGAAACTTATGCAACTCAAAGAGTCACATTCTGGATGCTAATCCCCAACATCTAAAAAGCTATAATTAGGGCACCCATAAAATATGTAAACCAAGTACTACCAGGTGTAGCCTGCTCTTTCAAGTGAGTCAGGCGAGCATTACTGGGATCATTACACACCCACAACTCTCTTTCATCTTTTATTTGTGTCAATCCACAAACAATAAAGAAAACCAAATACTGTTTCTGCAAAATGAGATGTGAATATATGGAAATAGTTCACTACTGTCTTAGAGACTAATTGCTACTTGATGGGGGACAAAGTGCATTTCATGCCACCTGTGTTTACCTCTCAGAACAATCTGAACTACACATTTTAGGCTGGGTCACTCTTGAATGAACAAATCAAGAACTGAAATCACTGAACTCTGGACATTCCCACGCGTGCTCCATCCGCCTTCTTTAGTAACCAATGAAGACTTGACAAGCTAATAGTACCAGCTGAAGCCTGATTAAAAGTCCAGCTCTGTTTCCCCTTCAGTGTCAACGAACACCCACAACAGCAGTTTCCATCAGGTCATTATCACATTAGGAAAAGAATGTAGACAGTGGGGTAACGGTATGGCAGAATGAGAGGTACAACAACTGAGAGATGGAAAGGCTTGGCTAGATGATGTAGTAGTGTACACTGGTTCTGTTCATCGGGGTGTAAGATCTGGCTGGGGATTTTCAGCTAGAATGAAGGGGAAAATTGTGGCAGAACAAAATGGAGCTTTTTAATCTACAACGTCAAGCATGAGGATAGAAGTGGAGGCAATCACTGCAACTCTTATATGGATAGCAGGAAAAAAAAAGTTACCAGAGAAGTTATTGTGTCTGATTCTCAGTCGACATGTGGAAGGTTAAAAACGGACTAATGTGGCATGAGTGGATACCACACATCAGTATGCCAACATTGCAGGGAATCAGGTGGATATATTGTCCAGGATATGAAAAAGTGGGAGGGAATGAAAGAGTGGATTTTCTGGTTACAAAAGCGAAAGCTATGGAAACACTCATATTGGAAAAGGGAGATATTCTGAGGACCATACTTGATTACTGACAGAAGACATGCAAAATAACATGTGCAAGAATGTGTGAATGAGAAATTAAGTGTGGACCCGGCAAGAAGAGACAGATGAGAGGAAGAAAATGTCTTGTGTATAATCAGTGTGCTACAGGAACAGTTAGCATCTACACCTTAAGACATTTGCTGCGGGAGACAGAGTGATGCATGTGATGCAAGCCATTCTGTTCGCGGGACATTAATTTCAGTTTTCTGAAGCATGCTCTGTGAGTCTGTTACAATCACAATCTTATCAGGCTGTGCTGTTCTCAAGCCATCAGAAAGCTGCTGTTACAGCCTCCTCCTCCATGCTCATACTGGATGTTCTGATGTATGCAAGTCCCTCTGTTTTCAAGGAGTATCCATTCACCTCTGCAATAAAAGCTCATAGACTCTTCTTACCTCTTACCACAGACCCATCTGTATATATTATGATCTCAACTGGGCGTGAATTTTCATGCATTAGCTCTTGCCCCGCTGACTCTGTTTCATCAACTATCCATTCCTTGCACACTTGGTCCAAGGTAACTATCACTCTGTGATGGGCGGCACTATAACCTATTCTTCACTACGCGCTATCTTGTCAGTAGCACAAACAGTTCTGATTGTAAGTCCTGCCTGTGCCATTCAAGCAGAAGCCCTGTCTTAAGGTGTTCGAACACCTGACTATTGAGCTGCTAGGCAAGAAATTAAAAAAATTTGAACAGAAACAATCAACACTATTTTCACTATATATACTCTATACTACCGTATGGCTCAGAAACCAATTAGAAAACTGAATTAAGGCCCTGAAAATACAGATACAAAAGAAAGGGTTAAATTTAATGGAAACAAAACCAATCAAATGCAGACTGGAAAAAAATAAGTAAAATAAAATAAAAAGGAGGAGTTAAATAATTTAGCTAAAGTTTTTAGTACCAGCCTGTTAACTTAAATTTGTTTTACCCAGATACATTTTTTTTTAAAGTAGACATTAAAATAATAACACTCTTGGGCAGAAGTAAAATTAACAGTTCTGGTAAAAGGCATTAAGGTAACACATTTTTGTGATAGAGGAAAGTCATGAATGTACAAAATTATCAGTTCTGATATAATGCATTATGTAGAAACTTTCTGTGGCAGAAGAGTCAGAAATTGTGCTGTCTTTGGATGAGACCCAAAGAACATATTTATGATGAGCTGCACGATTTCCGAAAGAGCTGAAAAATTTGAAACTCTTAAAAAACCACACCAGAGAGAAAACCTGAAGGCAAGTGAACAAAAGTTAGACACTGATAAAGGTGAAAGCATACCAAAAGATGAACAAACAGCCATATCAAAGAGTGTATATCTACTACATCATACAGGAATTGTTTGTGAGCAGCTGCATTTATCAGTAACTGTTTTTGAAGCGACATCTACTGACTGATTGCAGTTACAATATGTACATCTATTATTACTCAAAATTTACTAAATGAAGCAGACATAAGACTCACTTTCAGGGCTGACAAAAGCTTTTCCACTTGAGACCCAGACTTCTATTGGAGCACGAAGAATGACGTCTAAGGGAGGCAGGTCTATGTTTTCGAGAAGTTTATCACGTTCTTGTATGCTCTTATGTTCTTCCTTGGCTGCATCATATTATGAACAGTTTTTAAAATTTTGATAATTTTCTCATGTGAGACTTAATAAATAAATAAAATTCCTTTATAATTTTCTCATGTGAGACAATAAATAAATTAAATTCCTTTGTAATTTTCTCATGTGAGACTTAATAAATAAATTAAATTCCTTTATAATTTTCTCATGTGAGACAATAAATAAACTAAATTCCTTTATAATTTTCTCATTTGTGACTTAATATATAAATAAAATTCCTGTATAATTTTCTCATGTGAGACAAAAAATAAATTAAATTTGTTTTTAATTTTCTCATGTGAGACTTAAGAAATAAATGAAATTTCTTTACTCAGGTTCTGCAACAAGACTTAACAACCAACACCCAGAACTTTCCTCAAGTTTACAGCCGGTGAATGTGAAAAAAAAAAGAACTCTGTGTTAACTGCGAAAATGAGGATGGAGCACTTATCGGAATGTTCCAAGTGCTGTAGTGTCGGTTCTTAAATTAACTTAACCTAATGGATTTCAGTTGTTCTTTTAACTCCTCCAGATATGTAATTGTATTAGTATGCATCAAGACCCAGGGACTGTTAGTATAAGGTGAAAAATCTTTGGGTTAGAACAAGTTGAAGTAACAACTATTTGAGACTGAAAGAGTAAACAGACCAGAGAGTAGAAACACTAATTTGTTCCATGTGGGGCAACATATAAGAATTTTGTTTTCTCAGGAATTTGACAAAGGACAAAACTATATTGGGCAGATATTATGCAGAAATGAACAGGAAAACTATTTCAGAAACTGAAATGCTTGCATGCTGCAAACACAAGTGGAAACCTGTCTTACACATGTATGCTGCAAACATATGTGGAAACATCTCTTACACATGAATGCTGCAAACACACGTGGAAACATCTCTTACACATTAATGCTGCAAACATATGTGGAAACATGTCTTACACATTAATGCTGCAAACATATGTGGAAACATGTCTTACACATTAATGCTGCAAACATATGTGGAAACATGTCTTACACATTAATGCTGCAAACATATGTGGAAACATGTCTTACACATTATTGCTGCAAACATATGTGGAAACATGTCTTACACATGTATGCTGCAAACATATGTGGAAACATGTCTTACACATTAATGCTGCAAACACATGTGGAAACATGTCTTACACATTAATGCTGCAAACATATGTGGAAACATGTCTTACACATTATTGCTGCAAACATATGTGGAAACATGTCTTACACATTAATGCTGCAAACATATGTGGAAACATGTCTTACACATTAATGCTGCAAACATATCTGGAAACATGTCTTACACATTAATGCTGCAAACATATGTGGAAACATGTCTTACACATTAATGCTGCAAACATATGTGGAAACATGTCTTACACAGTGTAGTCAGAGTGGTGCCCTAAAGTTTTAGGAGATGGCAGGATTTGTAATGTGATCTAAAAAATAAAATATCTCTTCTTTTTTGGATATGGTTTCCACCCCCCTCCCCATCCCAAAAAAGGAAATGGCAATTTTCCATTTTATTAGTGTAATCTTTTGAGAATGAAGAACAAACAGAGAACACACAAGACAAATGTAAAAGGATATAAGAACTATCAGGTTTTAGAAAATATACAGCAAGAAGTTGTTCGAAAACAAAAGAAGGTGAAATATTAATGGACAAAGAGAAGGTAATTGAAAGATGGACACAGTATATAAAAGAGCTATAAGATGGTGACAGCAGACCAGACATGGTCATGAGTATGGGGAAGGACCTCCAATACTGAAAGCAGAAGTAGAAAGTGCTATAAACCCCATGAAGAAATGTAAATCTCCAAGGCCAGATACCATGACAACTGAAGAATTTAAAGCTGCTGGTAAACTCGGTTTAGGAGTTTTGACAAAATTGTTCAATGACAAAGAAAAATGACCCTTCAAAATGTAACATCAAAGTAAATAGGACAAATCTCAAGCAAGTTGATATGTTTACATACTTGGGTACCCTGATAACATCAGATGGAAGATGTATAAAAGAGGTTAAATGTACAATAACTTGAACAGAGACAGCATTTTACAAAATGATTTTATTCAACCTTATTTTGTTGACAACTGAGATGAGAAGGAGAATTCTTAAAAGCTACATAAATCCTATCTTGACATATGGAAGTGAATCATGGACAATGGGTAGATTAGTGAAAAATTATCTTGAAGATGCGGAGATGTGGTTTTATAGACGAATGATGAGAATACTCTGGAAAGATACAAAAGTGTAATGAAGATGAAAGAAACTGACTCACAAAGAGAACTGATTGTGCACACCAAAAAGAGAGACAACATTCTTCTGTCATGTGATAAGAATGAGAAAAATGGAGTACATTGTGACAGTAGGAAAGTTGGAGGAGAAGAGGTGGAGGGAGATTGAGAGAAAAGAGGCTAAACAGTTTGTCATCATGGCAGGGAGGATTATTTGTATTAGAGTTGATTAAAAGTACATGAGGCAGAAGGTTGTGGATAGACATGACTACCAATGCCACATGGCATGGACTTTAAGAAGAATCCTTCAAGCTTCTTTGTAACTGTTACCTTGATCTTTGGCTTCAAACCGTTCGGCTCTTGTATTCAAGCCAGTTTCTTCCATTTCTGTGTTTTTCTCAACTGTAACTTCTTTGTGATTAATGCTTTCACTTGTCATTTTTTCCAAGGATCTTCCAACATCATTACAGGTTTCAGTCTGATGATTCTGAAATCTAGCATCTGTCACCTCATTTTCATCTGCTTTGTCATCTGTGGAATTGATGATATGAACTAAGTTATTCACAATTGCTTAGCATAGTTTGTGCTTTCAGTGAGACAATCAACCTTTTGAAACCCCATCACATTTTCCCTTCCAACACTCTGGTACACACTGCATGATGCTATGTTCACATCCTTAAATTATGTGCCGCCAGAAAATCTCCTCGGCTCCTTGTCAAATTGGGGTTTAAACCTAGACCCCTGGTGATAGGGCACTGCACTATTCACTATGCTTTACAGGACCACATGTACTTATACAGAAATCTATGAGGCATGATGAAATGACACCAACCTAGCGACTATTACAAACACATGGAAGTTATATTAGCAAGTACAGCAAAACTAAACAAGCCAGTTGTGAGGAAGCAAGCATACACCTTGGGTCATTATAAGAAGTTGCTGTAAGCATTCAAACATGTATCCCACTGTTTTTAGATACTATTGCCGAAGACAGATTAATAAGGTGGAGTTTGGACCACCCTTTAAAAAAATTAAAAAAAGGTCTGAAATAAATTAACACAGATGAGCCAATATGATAGAATAAATATTATAGTAAAGATCAGCAGATAAGTCGGTAAAGATCCCTTTTTGCCCCTTCAGGCGTATCGGGTATATGGTAAGAGCGCCCATATTTTTACAGACCATCGGCACTAGGTGGGTAATGTGGTCAGCATCACACCGGCCGTCTTTACCTTCCCAGGACAGCCATCCTGGTACCCATTTTAGGCTGGGTCGACCTGCGACACCCCATACCATGATAAAAATCCACGCAGCCAGCAGTGGGTTTCAATCGCAGTATGCTGGAATTACGAGTCTGACTCCCAACGCCTAAGCCACAGACACCACAGAGATCAGCAGATAATGATCTTATATTTTCCACTGTTTGACATTGCTCCTCATCTATTTAAACACAAATTTATGAAGCAGATAGCAGTTATCAGGTATATTAACTGTGACGACACACCTGGTGACTTCAGAACGTGTTTTCCCCAACTTTAATTTAACCAATGTATTTTGAGTTAGAGAGGCAAATATGCTCCAGGATATAACCTAAATGAAGGCCATTCAGAACATAGCCACTTAATTTCTCCTAGACAACAGCTGAAGTTGAACACCCAGACTCTTGTCCAGGGATCAGGTGTTAACTGTTCAGATAACACTGACCAAGCTTAGACATAGTGGCTGTAGTGCATTTTGTTTGTAGAGCTTAAGTGTCATAAAATTATCTCCTGGCCAGAGACCCTTAGGGGCAGGCAACTGGTCACATAAGTAATTATCTCCACCTGGGATTATCTTTATTGAACTGCAGGCCGGCTAAGATTTCAGAATGAGGTGTTAGGAAACCACCTGAGACCAGGGGTCAGAACAATTGGCTGACTGTAGGGGAAATCAAGGCCTGACTCTTGTTTATGACCCTGCAAAGCTATGTCTAGACATGATGGCTCCACTTGACTAGTTTTTTCACACCCCTTTACTGATGCTGGGTAGAACCAGATGTGATCCACTTTAGAAAGTGTGACCAGCAGATGGGCAGCCAATTGACTGACAGCCACTAGGAAAGATAACTGTAGTTGGAAGGAACTTTCCTCAATAAACACTCATATAAATTAGGTATGAGCCAAACAGCTCTCTGCCAGTGTCTTCGTGCTGAACAGACTCCAGAACATGTCCCGCAAGACTGTCCTCTCCTGGCGGAGCTGCGGAGCGACATATGGCAACACCCAGTAGAACTGACAACTAAGCTTTGGGGAAACCTAAGAGACCTTGAAAAGACATCCCAGTTTATGACCCACAGTGGATTATGCGCATGACCAGAGATCGCTGAAGAAGAAGGAAGGAACTTTCAGGAGTGGAGCTTAAAGGCTCTCCTGAAGAAATGAGTTTCATTTAGATGATGGGAGGAGCTAACTCTGCTAAAGGAATGTTAAATACAGTGAGGAGTCTAAAATTCACTTCAGACTGCTGTCAGCATGCCAGCTGAAAGCTGCAGTAGGAAGTTTTGCTTGCTGGGTGAGTCTTTTTGGCAAATTGCTGGAATTTTCCAGTTCCAGTCAGAGTAAGGACCAGTCAGTGAGTATCAGTAGCAGATGGTACAAGTGTACGGCCTGCTTGAAACAGTGAGGACAAGAAAAGTTAGGCAGTCTCAGAATGAGATCTATCTCAGGTGTTCACAAGTTATATATTTTTATGTGCCTAAAAATTATCATAGTCATAACTCCTTCCTCACTCTACTATCATATGCACATATTGAACTCATGGACTGGCTCATTAACATCACTGAGCTAGTATTTTTTTATGACTGCAAGATCATTACCATCTATTTATTTTTGTTTAGATTAATTCAATCAAATCTTGTTCATGTTGTTATAAAATAGTTGGGTAAATTGTGTACTTAGGTTAAAATGTCTTTGTGCATACTAGTTTACCTCAGCTCACTTATATTTAACTCTTTGAGTCCCAAGGAACGCATCATACATTCATAGGTTCCTACCTAGAAGCCCACTGAACGCATGATGCGCCGATTTTATGACTCTCTTTACTACCCCCTGGGCCTGTAATGCTAAACCCCCTGGGAGTTAAATCACTTGATAGGGGCTTTTGTTATAAATTAATACCAGGAGAGGAGAAAATCGGAAGGGTTAACTGTGTATCTTGATATTCTCTCACTGAATTCATCTTGATATCCAACTACCCATTTCCTACTCCTGTATACAAGGACAGTTACTTTCAAATGATTGTACCAGCCACCTTTTGCTGTTTTCTTGGTTATCCAGGACTGTGTTTGGGATCAGCATAACTCAGGCATAAGTCCAATTTCTCATGTGGGTGTGCAGTGTTAGGATTCAAACCCCCACACACACTCACTACATTAGTGTATATCCACGTGGGGCTGGTGACTTCAACACAGATGAATTGATAATACATAATGCAGACAGCAACAGAAACGGCCAGATAATTAGGTGGCTGTATCATCTCCTTACGCATTAAAAGAAGCATTAATTAATCAAAAGATTAAAGACTTTTCTCACTGTGCTGGCTGTAATGATCCCCTTTCTGTAGTATGCTGTTTATCATTTCTGTTTTGCAGTTTTCTGTAGCAAATTTCACCAGGTCATCAATATCTAAGACCACAGATCCATCTTCCAGATACATTCTACGGGCAGCTGAACTCAAACCCAACCTGCTGGTGCAGTTTGCTAGAATCTGCAAGTGACAGAAAGATATTAACGTTATTTATTGCAGCCAATTTGAACAGCAAAAAATATATCCAATTACACACTGAGGCAAAAACTAACCTTAGACAGCATTCATGTCATGATGGTTTGGTAAAGATAAATTTTAGATAACATTCATGTCATGATGGTTTGGTAAAAATAAATCTTAGCTAGCATTCATGTCATGATGGTTTAGTAAAGATAAATCTAGATAGCATTCATGTCATGATGGTTTGGTAAAGATAAATCTAGATAGCATTCATGTCATGATGGTTTGGTAAAGATAAATCTAGATATCATTCATGTCATTATGGTGTGGTAAAGATAAATCTAGACAGCATTCATGTCATGATGGTTTGGTAAAGATAAATCTAGACAGCATTCATGTCATGTTGGTTTGGTAAGATAAATTCATAGCATTCATGATGGTTTGGTAAAAGAAAAATCTAGATAGCATTCATGTCATGATGGTTTGGTAAAGATAAATCTAGATAGCATTCATGTCATGATGGTTTGGTATGATAAATCTTAGACAGCATTCATGTCATGATGGTTTGGTAAAGATAAATCTAGATAGCATTCATGTCATGATGGTTTGGTAAAGATAAATCTAGACAGCATTCATGTCATGATGGTTTGGTAAAGATAAATCTAGATAGCATTCATGTCATGATGGTTTGGTAAAGATAAATCTAGATAGCATTCATGTCATGATGGTTTGGTAAAGATAAATCTAGATAGCATTCATGTCATGATGGTTTGATAAAGATAATTCTTAGACAGCATTTATGTCATGATGGTTTGGTAAAGATAAATCTAGATAGCATTCATGTCATGATGGTTTGGTAAAGATAAATCTAGATAGCATTCATGTCATGATGGTTTGGTAAAGATAAATCTAGATAGCATTCACGTCATGATGGTTTGATAAAGATAATTCTTAGACAGCATTTATGTCATGATGGTCTGGTAAAGATAAATCTTAGATAGCATTCATGTCATGATGGTTTGGTAAAGATAAATCTTAGACAGCATTCATGTCATGATGGTTTGGTAAAGATAAATCTAGATAGCATTCATGTCATGATGGTTTGGTAAAGATAAATCTAGACAGCATTCATGTCATGATGGTTTGGTGAAGATAAATCTAGATAGCATTCATGTCATGATGGTTTGGTAAAGATAAATCTAGATAGCATTAATGTCATTATGGTTTGGTAAAGATAAATCTAGATAGCATTCATGTCATGATGGTTTGGTAAAGATAAATCTAGACAGCATTCATGTCATGATGGTTTGGTAAAGATAAATCTAGATAGCATTCATGTCATGATGGTTTGGTAAAGATAAATCTAGATAGCATTAATGTCATTATGGTTTGGTAAAGATAAATCTAGATAGCATTCATGTCATGATGGTTTGGTAAAGATAAATCTTAGACAGCATTCATGTCATGATGGTTTGGTAAAGATAAATCTAGATAGCATTAATGTCATGATGGTTTGGTAAAGATAAATCTAGACAGCATTCATGTCATGATGGTTTGGTAAAGATAAATCTAGATAGCATTAATGTCATGATGGTTTGGTAAAGATAAATCTTAGATAGCAGTTAACATGCAATTACAAAATTATCTCAGTAAGTCCCAGGACAATGAATAAAATCAGTCAGGTAAAAACAAACATTATACAAGATAATACAGGTAACTAAATATACAAAACCAAACTATAAATAATTTAACTAAAGGGGGTTTAGCATCACAGGCCCAGGGGATAGTAAAGAAAGTAATAAATCGGCGCATCATGCGTTCATTAGGCTTCTAGGTAGGAACCTATGAACGTATGATGCGTTTCTTGGGACTCAAAGAATTAAGAAGCACTGTACTATGAATTTCATAATTCATTGTACAATTCTAACTGGATAATTTAACTATAAACATCTTATTAAAAATATTTACAATTAACCTTTTAAAAATGATTTTATTAAAATTAGTCAGGTTGATTTGATTTGATTTGATTCCCATAAGCGCTCCGTCCCCATCTTCAGCAGCCAGCGAAGAGTTCTGATACTAATGGTGCCAGTAGCATTCTGATTAAACGTCCATCTTGCCTTTCCTCTGAGCCTCGAGCATCTGCCAGAACCTCTCATCACCCCCAACTGCATCAATCTCACCAGACTGTAGTGATCAATCTGCTCTTCCGAACTGTACAAGCTCTCCCACAAGGCACTAATCACGTCTGCCTTATCGTGCATCAGTATTCCACCAAGCTGTGCAGAGCGAGCCATTCTGTCCGCCTGTTCATTTTCTCAACACACCGACATGCCCTGGTGAAAAAATCCAGACAATACTCCTCACCTGTGTCTTCCACAGCGAGGCATGCGTTCTGCACAAAGCATGCCTGTCCTGATCTTCCTTAGTATGCTTTCTGAGTCAGTTACAATCACAATGTGTGTGTGTGTGTTTCATGTTCTCTAGCCAGCAGAAAGCTGCAGTGACCGCCTCCACCTCCATTTTTAAGCTGGATGTTGTGATATCATATGCTAGGCTCTCCTGCACCAAATGTCGACCATTAACTTTTGCTAAGAAACCCCAAGCACTTCCTTTTGCCTCTTGACACTGAACCGTCTGTGTAAATGATCAAATCTTCTGAGCGAGCATTCTCTTGAATTATTTGCTGAATTTCCACCTCTATGACACCTGCTGGCCAATCTCTGCATTCCCAGCTCAGTGTGATTATGACCCTACACAAGTCTGACTATTCAGGTGGCACTTTGACCAACTCTTCTCCTCGCCTAATGTTCTCAAGGATGCAAACCTGTCTGATTGTGTCCTTTGACTTCACTTGCAGCACCTTGTGCCTACCTGCAACAGTCGGCAAACCAAGGATGTATCGCATACACACTACTGGGATGTCTCTCGTGCAACCCAGAATGACCCGCATTGCTGCGTTCTGTATAAGCTCTAGTTTGTCCATCTGGCTCTTTGAGACAGTAAGCATTCCTAGGCCATAATCAACCACTGACAGGATCAGGTGCTGATATAGTGTGAAAAGCATTCTCTGCTCTATGTCAATTGCAGCCATAGTCTTAAGTGCACAAAGTCCTTTTTGGCATCTTGTCACAACACTCTCCACATGGTCCTTAAAGGACAGGCTCCTGTAAAATGTAATTCCCAGATACTTCAGTTTGCTTTCTTTGTTGATGTTTCTACCATTTATCGTGAGACTTGGGACATTAGTTTTAACGATCCTGTTGTCCAGAGAACACCACAAAACAGATCCCTTTTCTGGGTGGACGACAGCCCTCATTTCTGTACACCACTCAGTCACTTTGTCCACTGTCGCTTGTAGCTCTCGGGCTGTTTGTTCCCTCTCTTGCCCCTGCCTATATGCAAGTCTATCATACGCAAAAGTCAGTATCCTTCCAACTCCAGGTGCTTCTAGGCTTGCAATCTTGCTCGTATAAACGCTAAAGAGCACAGGCGAGATAGTGGATCCCTGTGGCAGTCCTAGGGCCAAACTGTATGGTTCTGAGGTCCATAAGCCCAGTCAAAGAGCAACCCGACGTGAATACAGGGCAGCTGCAATCCAATTCACCATCCATGGACTAACCTCCTTCTCCTTAGTGAGGTAAAACCAAACATTAGATAGCATAATGCATGCAATCACAAATGTAAAACCAAACCCTAAGTAGCACAATATATATAACTGTTAACTTTAAAGCAATAAAGTTCAGAGACAATGTACTATACATTTAATAAGAATTCACTGTAAAATTCTAACTGAATAATTTAACTATAAATGTCTCATGAAAAAATATTTATAACAAACCTTTTTTAAATGTTACATAATCTGCACATAGAAATAGTTACTTAACTTCTGGTTTATTCTAAATCTAGCCTATCCATAGTTGACCCTAAAATTAAAAGTACATGTAGTTCCATAGCAGCCATTATTTATGTGTTGTGAAGTGTTAGGTCTTAGTACATTTTAAATCAGTGGCAGCAAAGTGGCTAGATGCTTGCCTTCCAACCAGAAGGTCTAGGGTCCTAGCCCATATCAAGGCAGATTTTTTTAAAGTAAAAACTGACCTGCTCTCTCATTTAAACCTAAAACAGGCACCAGGCAATGTCAAGGAAAGTAAAGGGTGCCTGTCATAATGACAATCCCATCATCTATTGAGTCTCAACTGGTCTATAAACAAATAAGTCTAGCACTAAATGCTCCATGTGCCAAAAGTGTGAAACGGGTTCTTTCCTTTTCTTTACTTTAATTATATACAAAAGTGACAGCTATGGGAGCACTTTACTGGACAAAGGAGGCGTTCTGAAGACCATTTATGAACGAATGCTGGTAGAGGCAGAAGTTATTAGGTAAGATGAAATAACATGTGTAAGATGTGTGAACGAGGATCTGGGTGCGGATCCAGCAAGGACTGGCGTATGAGAGGAAGAGAATGATATGTGTATAATCAGTGTGCTACGGGAACAGTTAGCACCTACACCTTAAGACATTAGCTGCAGGAGTCAGAGGATCTATGAGTATCTCTTGTGTGCAATGATGTCAATTCTGAAATTGGTAAATCAGTACTAATTTACAATCTTGATAACGACATAATAACTGGGATGGCCGGTTTCCTTTCTTGTTGCTTTTCCTTCCTAAATAATTTTGTAAATTATATACGGTTATAATTTATATGAGACTGCGTTGTCCTCACAGCCATATTGGTCAGAAAAAATGTATGCTGCTTCCAAGAACGGAACTTGGACCAGTGTCTCATCAGGCAAGTATTTTAATTACAGTGCCACTATGACTCCTCCATAATGGAATGCTCATTTAATTTAAGTTTTTTTTTAAATGTAAGAAAACTGAGAAAATACATATTTACAACACTGACCCCAGCTATACTGGATCCACAAATGAGTTCTCCCTTCCGAAGCCGGCCTTCTCCATTCTTGTAAGCCATCACCTTGACTGTGATGACAGTTCTGGCTGCACTGATCTCTTTCATGATTGTCTGCACGCTGGTCTGCTGCTTCAAGTTATGCAATGTGTCCCTCCAATACTGAAGACTGATGTCCGCCTCAAAGGTCGACAGGTCAACCTTATTGTTTAGGACCTTGAAGCTGCCAGCTTGTTGTATTTGTAGTTTTTTTGCTTCAAGATGTAGAGAAAAAAAAATGCAAGATGTTACATGTATGGTTCACAATTACAAAACACCTGTTAGAATAAAGTAATAGATTTTCATTTCATTATTTATTTTGAAAATACCTTTTTGAAAGTACCTCTAAATTTTTACTTTAATTTTTAATTCACATTGTGAGTTGTTTTTTTGCAGTGAGAAGTTCTGTACATCATTTCAAAATATAAAACACCTTTAAAATTTATCAACCCTACCCCCCCCCCCCCCAAAAAAATCTTTACTCTTTCAAAATATATTCAGTTATGATGGAGAGAATGTTATCTGTTCATTTTAATTTTTATCAATTTCCATCAGTTTAAAATGAATTCCTTATGTTGTGGATTTATAACAATTATATAAACGTGTCATGAATCACTGTTACAATATCTCACCATCTCCCATGGCACAGTGGAAACTTGTGTTTGGTGGCAACCTCTGGACCTTATACCTTCCCCTCAGAGCACGAGCACAGGACATACACATATGATGTTGTTGGCCGTCAATTTCTACAAGGTAGCCCTAAAAGAAATAATTAACATAATATTTAATATGTTGTGTTTTACACAACTACTCATATACAACATTCTTTCCATCACACAAGTACTCAGTCCCAACATTCTGTCCATCACACAAGTACTCAGTCACAACATTCTGTCCGTCACACAAGTACTCAGTCCCAACATTCTGTCTAACACACAAGTACTCAGTCACAACATTCTGTCTAACACACAAGTACTCAGTCACAACATTCTGTCTAACACACAAGTACTCAGTCACAACATTCTGTCCATCACACAAGTACTCAGTCACAACATTCTGTCCATCACACAAGTACTCAGTCACAACATTCTGTCCATCACACAAGTACTCAGTCACAACATTCTGTCTATCACACAAGTACTCAGTCACAACATTCTGTCCATCACAAAAGTAAACAGTCACAACATTCTGTCCAGCACACAAGTACTCAGTCACAACATTCTGTCCAGCACACAAGTACTCAGTCACAACATTCTGTCCATCACACAAGTACTCAGTCACAACATTCTGTCCATCACACAAGTACTCAGTCCCAACATTCTGTCTAACACACAAGTACTCAGTCACAACATTCTGTCTAACACACAAGTACTCAGTCACAACATTCTGTCTAACACACAAGTACTCAGTCACAACATTCTGTCCATCACACAAGTACTCAGTCACAACATTCTGTCCATCACACAAGTACTCAGTCACAACATTCTGTCCATCACACAAGTACTCAGTCACAACATTCTGTCTATCACACAAGTACTCAGTCACAACATTCTGTCCATCACAAAAGTAAACAGTCACAACATTCTGTCCAGCACACAAGTACTCAGTCACAACATTCTGTCCAGCACACAAGTACTCAGTCACAACATTCTGTCCATCACACAAGTACTCAGTCACAACATTCTGTCCATCACACAAGTACTCAGTCACAACATTCTGTCTATCACACAAGTACTCAGTCACAACATTCTGTCTATCACACAAGTACTCAGTCACAACATTCTGTCCATCACACAAGTACTCAGTCCCAACAAACTGTCTAACACACAAGTACTCAGTCACAACATTCTGTCCATCACACAAGTACTCAGTCACAACATTCTGTCTATCACACAAGTACTCAGTCACAACATTCTGTCCATCACAAAAGTAAACAGTCACAACATTCTGTCTAGCACACAAGTACTCAGTCACAACATTCTGTCCAGCACACAAGTACTCAGTCACAACATTCTGTCCAGCACACAAGTACTCAGTCACAACATTCTGTCCAGCACACAAGTACTCAGTCACCACATTCTGTCCATCACACAAGTACTCAGTCACAACATTGTGTCCAGCACACAAGTACTCAGTCACAACACTGTTACACAAGTACTCAGTCACAACATTCTGTCCATCACTTAAGTATTTAGTCACAACATTCTATCCATCATACCAGTATTCAGTCATACCATTCTACCCATCATACCATCATACAAATACTATATCACAACATTCAAAGTATTCAATCACAACATTCTACCCTACAAGTACAAAGTCACAACACTGTTACACAAGTACTCAGTCACAAGACTGCTACACAAGTACTTAGTCACAACATCAAAGCTAACAATGCGGTAATCTGACAAGTTGAAAAGTGATTTGTCCCTGCAGTCTGTGACAGGAAATTACCCCAGCTACCACATGTTTAGCTTCTTCAGGAATTTGAAGAACACTGTAAAAAATTGTATCTGCGCTAAAAAGATAATTTAAAAGCACTTAAAAAATAATTTAAAACCAATCTGCACTTTAACAGTAATCTGTACTTTAATGGTACTTTAAAACCAATCTGTTCTTAAAAGGTAATTTAAAACACATGGAAACGTACAGGCTGATCTATTTCTGCTCCTCGAGTTATGGCGTATGTGCACACGTCTGCTCTGTTGGCAGCGGTTATTTCTGGGGAATATAATAAAACAGATATTCTGACTAAAGTCTTCAAAAAGTACATATCACTGATTAGTTAAGATTGATACCATTATCATTAAAAAAATTCAGAAAACAAGAGACAGGCTAGGGTGATCATGTCTCTAAAGTCTTCAAAAAGTACATATCACTGATTAGTTAAGATTGATACCATTATCATTAAAAAAATTCAGAACACAAGAGACAGGCTAGGGTGATCATGTCTCTAAAGTCTTCAAAAAGTACATATCACTGATTAGTTAAGATTGATACCATTATCATTAAAAAAATTCAGAACACAAGAGACAGGCTAGGGTGATCATGTCTCTAAAGTCTTCAAAAAGTACATATCACTGATTAGTTAAGATTGATACCATTATCATTAAAAAAATTAAGAACACAAGAGACAGGCTAGGGTGATCATGTCTCTAAAGTCTTCAAAAAGTACATATCACTGATTAGTTAAAATTGATACCATTATCATTAAAAAAAATTCAGAACACAAGAGACAGGCTAGGGTGATCATGTCTCTAAAGTCTTCAAAAAGTACATATCACTGATTAGTTAAGATTGATACCATTATCATTAAAAAAATTCAGAATACAAGAGACAGGCTAGGGTGATCATGTCTCTAAAGTCTTCAAAAAGTACATATCACTGATTAGTTAAGATTGATACCATTATCATTTAAAAAATTCAGAACACAAGAGACAGGCTAGGGTGATCATGTCTCTAAAGTCTTCAAAAAGTACATATCACTGATTAGTTAAGATTGATACCATTATCATTAAAAAAATTCAGAACACAAGAGACAGGCTAGGGTGATCATGTCTCTAAAGTCTTCAAAAAGTACATATCACTGATTAGTTAAGATTGATACCATTATCATTAAAAAAATTCAGAACACAAGAGACAGGCTAGGGTGATCATGTCTCTAAAGTCTTCAAAAAGTACATATCACTGATTAGTTAAGATTGATACCATTATCATTAAAAAAATTCAGAACACAAGAGACAGGCTAGGGTGATCATGTCTCTAAAGTCTTCAAAAAGTACATATCACTGATTAGTTAAGATTGATACCATTATCATTAAAAAAATTCAGAACACAAGAGACAGGCTAGGGTGATCATGTCTCTAAAGTCTTCAAAAAGTACATATCACTGATTAGTTAAGATTGATACCATTATCATTAAAAAAATTCAGAACACAAGAGACAGGCTAGGGTGATCATGTCTCTAAAGTCTTCAAAAAGTACATATCACTGATTAGTTAAGATTGATACCATTATCATTAAAAAAATTCAGAACACAAGAGACAGGCTAGGGTGATCATGTCTCTAAAGTCTTCAAAAAGTACATATCACTGATTAGTTAAGATTGATACCATTATCATTAAAAAAATTCAGAACACAAGAGACAGGCTAGGGTGATCATGTCTCTAAAGTCTTCAAAAAGTACATATCACTGATTAGTTAAGATTGATACCATTATCATTAAAAAAATTCAGAACACAAGAGACAGGCTAGGGTGATCATGTCTCTAAAGTCTTCAAAAAGTACATATCACTGATTAGTTAAAATTGATACCATTATCATTAAAAAAAATTCAGAACACAAGAGACAGGCTAGGGTGATCATGTCTCTAAAGTCTTCAAAAAAAGTACATATCACTGATTAGTTAAGATTGATACCATTATCATTAAAAAAATTCAGAATACAAGAGACAGGCTAGGGTGATCATGTCTCTAAAGTCTTCAAAAAGTACATATCACTGATTAGTTAAGATTGATACCATTATCATTAAAAAAATTCAGAACACAAGAGACAGGCTAGGGTGATCATGTCTCTAAAGTCTTCAAAAAGTACATATCACTGATTAGTTAAGATTGATACCATTATCATTAAAAAAATTCAGAACACAAGAGACAGGCTAGGGTGATCATGTCTCTAAAGTCTTCAAAAAGTACATATCACTGATTAGTTAAGATTGATACCATTATCATTAAAAAAATTCAGAACACAAGAGACAGGCTAGGGTGATCATGTCTCTAAAGTCTTCAAAAAGTACATATCACTGATTAGTTAAGATTGATACCATTATCATTAAAAAAAATTCAGAACACAAGAGACAGGCTAGGGTGATCATGTCTCTAAAGTCTTCAAAAAGTACATATCACTGATTAGTTAAGATTGATACCATTATCATTAAAAAAATTCAGAACACAAGAGACAGGCTAGGGTGATCATGTCTCTAAAGTCTTCAAAAAGTACATATCACTGATTAGTTAAGATTGATACCATTATCATTAAAAAAATTCAGAACACAAGAGACAGGCTAGGGTGATCATGTCTCTAAAGTCTTCAAAAAGTACATATCACTGATTAGTTAAGATTGATACCATTATCATTAAAAAAATTCAGAACACAAGAGACAGGCTAGGGTGATCATGTCTCTAAAGTCTTCAAAAAGTACATATCACTGATTAGTTAAGATTGATACCATTATCATTAAAAAAATTCAGAACACAAGAGACAGGCTAGGGTGATCATGTCTCTAAAGTCTTCAAAAAGTACATATCACTGATTAGTTAAGATTGATACCATTATCATTAAAAAAATTCAGAACACAAGAGACAGGCTAGGGTGATCATGTCTCTAAAGTCTTCAAAAAGTACATATCACTGATTAGTTAAGATTGATACCATTATCATTAAAAAAATTCAGAACACAAGAGACAGGCTAGGGTGATCATGTCTCTAAAGTCTTCAAAAAGTACATATCACTGATTAGTTAAGATTGATACCATTATCATTAAAAAAAAATTCAGAACACAAGAGACAGGCTAGGGTGATCATGTCTCTAAAGTCTTCAAAAAGTACATATCACTGATTAGTTAAGATTGATACCATTATCATTAAAAAAATTCAGAACACAAGAGACAGGCTCGGGTGATCATGTCTCTCCGACCCGTCACTGTAACATTTTACATACTGGTATCTACCCATGCAATGACACAAGACTTCATCTCCATCTTTTTTCTTTTTCTCCAGATACCTCAATGAAGTGTTGGGAGGAGAATAGAGAATGTTCTGTGTGTGTGTGTGATTTTTTTTCTGCATAAGCAGCTCTTCATTGCCATAAAGTTGCTCTGGTTGTCACAATTCCATCTTTTGAATGCTATTGCCTTTTCTCAGTAAATGTTACAATTTTTTTTCAAACTGCTCCTGTGGTAGGCAGAATCTTTGTGATTCAAGACTGAATGTTTAATACAACTTTATGGTGAGTTCCATATCTTTTTTATTAAACTGTTCAGTTATTACTGTGTACTCCAGCTTTGCTTTTCTCCTCATGAAGCCATGAGAATGTTGATCAATTCCCTCTGAATTCTGCAATAAATTTTCAACGTGATTTGACCTAGAAAACATTCCGATTACCAATTTTGGTCAAGGAAGACATTTTTAACATTCTTTTATAAAACCAAATTAGCGCAGCTTCATATAATTTCTAACTTATTTTGAAATACAACAATCTCTAAGGAGGTTTCTAATAAAAAAATACAGTAGATGAAAACAGAAATAAATCAAAACTCCTTCAGTTCCAAGCGACAAGAGAGTCTAGTTTTTTTTTTTTAGGTGTGCCCCATGCTACAAATGATGTGTGACTGGCTCTTTAAGTGTGTCCAAAAATAGCAAATGATCTGTGACTGAATCCTTGGGTGTGTCTAAAGTTACAACTGATGTGCAGCTTGCTCATACTAAGCAACAAATGATGTGTGGCTGGCTTCTTGTGGTGTGTCCCAAGTAACAACTGATGTGTACTTAGCTCCTTGTGATGTATCCTGAGCAACAAGTGATGTATGGCTGGCTCATCTTCAGCTACAAATGATGTGTGGCTGGCTCATTCTAAATAACAAGTGATGTATGGCTGGCTTATTCTCAGCAACAAATGATGTGTGGCTTGCTCATCTTAAAAAACAAATGATGTATGGCTGGCTGATCCTCACAAGTGATGTTTGGCTGGCTTCTTGTGGTGTGTCCAAGTAACAACTGATGTGTGCTTAGCTCCTAGTGGTGTGTCCTGAGCAACAAGTGAAGTATGGCTGGCTCATCCTAAACAAGAAGTGATGTGTGACTAGCTCCTTTGGATGTATCCCACCCAGTGTCTTCAAATTATTTTACATTTACTCACAGCATTGTAAAGAAAACCTGGCTTCCACAGTGGCTGCTGTCATTATCTTTATGTCCTTAAAACACTACTGTGTGAGCCATAGAAGTGCAGTGGCTAGAACATCTGTCAGCCTCGTAGTCATGTCTCCAAATCCACTCTGAAGTCAGGATTTTAAAAAACATTCACCTGGGCCCTCAGGTTGATCCAACCAATAGATACTAAGCATCTTCTCCTCCTCCTTCTTCTTCTTCTTCTGTGCTCACCTTTACAAGAGCAGCTGGCATGTTGTTTTGCAGTTTACAACTAAACTATTTGTGTTCTGCATTTCACTGACTAATTACAAAATAACTGTGTGTTATCTTGTATATATGTCATCAATAATGTCTGTTTAAAAAAACAAACAAACCTAACTGCTCACCTTTATCTTGAGTATCAGAATGAAATGCTTTAATGAGACCAGTCTCTCCATCATAAAGCCACATCTGATGAGACCTGCCATAAGCACTGCTACACCTTGTTTGAATAACAACAGGACAACCAGCAAATGACAAACAGGCATGTCCATCAGGTGTTGTTGCAGGCATGATTACCGTCAGCACCATATTCTGCTTATGCCTAGCCTGAATTTCTCTGAGTGAAATAACAACAACACTTATGCAGACTACAATGTGTAGGAAAGTAAGCTCTATTACATCATATTTATATCACTTAGAGAGGAGAGCATATTTTCACTGATTTAAAATGTTAACAATTTGTGTACTTGACCATAATTCACAGAAGGCAAATGTTGTCACCTACCAGCAAAACAGCAAATTAGGAATAGCATCTTCACTCCTACTTTATGCTATAAGTGCCAAACATGGACAGTGAATTGGGTACTAGAACAGAAAATAACAACCAGTTAAATGCCCTGTCTCCACAAGGTCACTAAAACACAAGAAGAAACAGGGTTATGAATACCAGCATTAGAGAGAATAAGGCAGAAGTTGGAATAAGACTGTCTAAATTATATTTACAGGCAAAGAATGAATTATTTAGACCATCTAGTGAGAAAAACTGCCAAACCAACTGCATATGTGATGTTTTACAGCAGAACATCTGGAAGGAATGCAAGGGGAAGAGTAAGAAAGACAGATAAATGGTCTTGAAACCTGCAAAAATTATGAATAAATCCATAACCAAAGCCACCTGATTAGCTCAAATCAAATACAGAAAACCAAGATACTGCGCTACAAGTTGGTATAAGTGAGACATCAAAAGAAAGCAGAAGATCATACTTATTTTAAATTTAGCAAGTTAGAATCACACTTGGAGGTTTTTTTTTTAACAATTTAATAATAGGAGGAGAAATTCAGAAGGATGAACTGCAATCCTTCTTTATTCCCTCATTAAATTACTCTATATCTAACTACTCCTGTGGGTATTAAGTGCAGCTATTTTTATTTTATTCTTCAAGCCACTTCTTGAATGAAGGACTTTGTCTAGTATCTGGTTAATTTATACATTAGTTCAGTTGCCTCTATGGAGGTAGAAGGTCAGGATTAACACTAATATTCATAGCTACACAAAGATATATCAACATGGATTGGCGACATATAAATATGTTCTTGCTAACTTCTAAGTCAATTTTGTCTTACTTAAAAATTCACTTGTTCTTAATAGCACCTTTTCTAGCTTGAATTTCTTTTTGTTTCCACCAACCTAAACTTTAAATCATCTACTTTTTACATACCCATTTTCTTTAATAATCCATCTTTGATTAATGTCGTCTGGCCTCCTTTTGGCTAAAACCACACTGGTAACTCGGCCTTCAGTCTCACTGACTGAAAGAACCAGATTTTGATCCGCAGCAAGTGCAATGTATTCATTTACATATTCAAATTGTTGAAACATGTCTCGAGTCACACGATTTATAGTTTGAGGCCTGAAATAAGAGCAAACAAACACATTAAGCACAATGTTCATTATTAGTTTCAAATGTAAAAATTACTAATAAATTAATTATTTAATATTCAAATTTGCTTTAATCCTTTCAGTTGACACTACCTACCTAGAAGGTTAATCAGCACTGAATAGAATGTTGTTACCCAGTATCTGTAAATGTTGTGGCTTAGAACTTGTGTGATGAGTTCAACGTGTGACATGTTCCTGTTTTTAAGTTATCACCAGTATAAAATATGAACTGGACAATTTGAACATTCTTTCTGGTTCTTTTGTGTTCAGTTCACAAACTACATTTTTAGAGGGTTGCTTGAATTATTAAGCAATTGTTTACAATTTTAAATAAATATGGCCGCTAGGTCATCTTCACACTCACAAATGTGATTTACGCCTTTAGAAGCCTCTACTTGAAACAAAAAGCTTTTTGATCAGAATTATATGTGAAGTTTACATGCGAATAATTCTATGAAAGGCAGGAAGATAAATGAAGCAGTCCCCTAGAAAAACAAATGAACAACATATAAACTTTTTAGAGAAATATGTCACGGATAGTCCAGTCCAGATTTTTTAGGGTGGGGGTATAATATAAAGAGAAATAAACTTGGTAACTTAATAACAGCAGACACATCTGACTGGAAAGGCAGAAAATTGAGACACAAAGATAAAAGCCTAGACCACATAACAGAATATATCTGGTACTTTCAAAACTCACTTAAACTTCTCATAAAGATCCCGGTCTGTATACTTGTTAGCTTCTGGATCATCCATATCCATACTGTTGGAGACATTGACGAGTCTTTCCCAAGGCCATTTCAAAGAATTCAAACGCTCTTCTGACCCTTTGTGAGCCCTCTGGTGGGCAGTTCTGACAATTACACAAAATGTGACAAAGTTATAAAACAGCAAGCTGCTTGTAGAGACACTTATCCAAGAAAATAAATATGATGGGTGCAAACATTAGAGTCATGATAAATGTAAAATTAAACAGAAAAAAACATATACAGCAATTAAACAATGACAGTTTATACAAATAATTTTTTGAAATATCATTGAGAACCATGCATGTCTAATGAAAATATTTCATCATCATCATTGTTCCCGCTATGCCATTATACGTCACACAGGACTTGCAATCTATTCCTCATTTCCATTTTATTCTGTGCAATCCCCTAATATATCATGGATGGAATCCAATCCAGCATGTTTGGCCTCTCTATGTTCCTTTTAGGGTTTCTTGGTTTAAAACTGTTCAGTTCAGAGTTCCATATTTTGATCAGGTTTTGTAAAAGCTGCTGATGCCTTGGCAATGTGTGTCATCTATATAGACAGGAACCCTTGTTCAAGCCCTGAGGTTATTGGGTACACAGGTTAATCTAAGCGGCCTCCGTGGCTAAGGCGTTGCGAGTCCAAATCGTAATCCAACGTACCGCGATCGAAACCCACTGCTGGCTGCGTGGATTTTTATCGTGGTATGATACGTCACAGATCAACCCAGCCTCAAATGGATACCAGGATGGCTGTCCTGGGGAAGTAAAGGCGGTCGGCGTAATGCTGACCACATTACCCACCTAGTGACGATTCATCTGTAAAAATATGGGCGCTCTTCCCATATACCCGATGCGCCTTAGGCGTAATAAGGGATCTTTACTTTTTTTTTTTTTTTTTTTACAGGTTAACCTAAACGTCCAAACCTAAACCTGGGTATACAGTGCTAGCCGGATATCTGTTCACAAACTGGCACTCAATGAAGAATTTTAGTATCACACACACTGCCTTTACTTTCTAGGGAATGTTCTTCCTGCCAGTTTTGTAAGATAGTACTTTCTATATTTTCTAAGGAGTAAATTTCACAAATTAAATTGTAGATGTAGAGAATATATGTTATTACAGTCATTAAAATACAAAAGACAGCAGCTAAATTCTACTAAATTTTTGATTACCTTATGCCACTAATGAGCAAACACACTGCTGATAAATGGTATTTTGTGATCAGCAGTTGTAAATGCCTTACTGAGTGTAAATTATTAAAGCATTAACATGCTAGTTTCTTCACTTACAGATAAGCAGAATCTGCATTTAAAGAACTGTTGTTGTCATCTTTCAGACTCTGGGACAGAGGCTGGTCACTGCTGCCTTTTGTCTGAGATCCTTCGTTTGTCTCAAGGTGGGGACCAGAAACAGGCGACCATAGCTTGTTCACGGTAAGACCAGAGTTTGGAGCTAGAGGTCCATTAACCTCCAAGACAAAATCTGCATTGTCCAAATATTCACAAGTCAGGATGCTAAAATCAACAACAGTTTTGTGTAGTATGTATTAGTCAATATTTTTCTCAACATTACAAGGTAAGCCAATGGAAACAGTTGATAACATCTTGAGAATAAAAAGTGCTAATGACAAACAAGGGTCCAGCAATATAAGATGTGAACAAAAATACCTTCTACATGGATTGAGGTTTGAACAACAGATCAACATTATGGAACACTGGTAGTAACCCATAAGTGCTTCATTCTTCTTCTATCTCAAGTAGGAGTCCGAAGAAGCTCAGCACAGTGCACAAGCTTTATAGAACCGGCAAGGATCCTGACATACTTTGGGTAGATTTTAAACTACAAATTTTGCCTGGGCAGTGCCGTTAGGCTACTCTTTTCGATTTTCAACTGCCAAGGGATTGTTTACATGTGCAACAATGCACAAGGGCATCCGGTCACACTACCCAGAGACCAGGAGGAAATACTAGAAGTTCAAGTCAACGTGAAAAAATCCCAGTTCTTACCGGAGATTGAACCCGCAACCTCTAGCACTGGAGGCGGACACCATGCCTCAAGACCACATAGTCCCCTCCTACATGGATGACTGAATGCACAGGAGAGCATACATAACACAAGTACTACCAACAACTATAAACATGAATACATAAACAGTCAAGTGTGTTTTTTTAGTGCCCTTAAGAATAACAAAGAAAAATAACCATACTACCTATCAAGCATGTCATATAAGAGTATTAGTGATACTTGGTGTCTGATTGGCTGCTGAGTTCCATAGAAAAAACTATAACACGTTTACCCGACTCTGAGTCAACACTGAGGTAAACTATAAGGGAGCAGCCTCATTATGTCCTTCGCCTGAGCCATCCATGACTTCCCTCTGATCAGCCACACACCCTTAAATTCATCCAATGCTTCAGGGAAAGAAGGATCTGTGTCTGCAGCTACTCTAAGGTATGACTTCTCCCCCCTGCAATAGCTAGCAAACCAAGGATGTATCACATACACACTACTGGGGTGTCTCTGGAAAATCCCAAAATGACCTGCAAAGCTGCGTTCTGTATGCGCTCCTGTTTAACCAGTTGACTCTTTGAGACAGTGAGCAGTCCTAGTCTATAATTAATCACTGAGAGGACCAAGTGTTAATACAGTATGAAAAGCATTCTCTGCTCTATGTTCATTACAGCCATAGTCTAAGTGAGTCCATTTTTTTGGCATCTTGTCACAACCGTCTCCACCTGGTCCTAGAGAATTCAGGACAGCTGCTATCCAATTCACCAATCACAGACTGACCCCCTTCTCCATCAGTGCGATCATCAAAATATCATATCTAATTCTACTGTAGGAATCCTTGAGGTCATATGCTACCACCATCGTTTCCTGTTTGTTCTGGAACCTTTCATAAACATCAAAGACAAAAGTGGCTGCAATTGACAAGGTATCTTTTCCTGGCCTGTAGCTCCCAAAATCTCCTGGAAGGAGCATCCTTATTTCTGAAAATTCTTGCAGCTTGACAGAGGCCATCTTCTCTGAGACCTTCCTAAATGTATTGTGTAAGATGACAATTCTAAAGCCACTAAGCTTTTAATGATTTTTGCATGGTTTTTGAAGTGGGATTAGATAGTTGGGCACCAAATCCTGCGGTAGGAATACTAATTAAAACAGTTGGTCATCTCCCTCAGGTAGACATTGCTCAATGCCTTTCGTGGCCATACCTAACCTCATCAGGCCCTGGTGCAGTGTCTTTTTCCTTTTTCAAAATATATGTAGTATCTTTAACTCATATGATGTCTTCATAATGTATATTCTTTATGATGCCAAATAAATTATCTCTAACTGTATCCCTGATGTCTGCATCATTATGATCTGTCGGTGCTATAAATCTCTGTAGAAATGTCTCCCCTTTCTCTTTGTTATCATGCATATATCATCATCATCTCTTCAAATTGTTCCTACAGTCATGGCTGATCTTTTCTTTGCATTTGTATTTACAGTTTCCAGAATGTTCCCAGTGTTTTATTACCTCCAATCTCATTCATACAATTTTCAAATTCTATTTTTTTTTGGGCCTCAGCAGCATATCTGTAATGGATGTCAATAGTATTATGCATATGACATTATAGTACAAACAGCCAAGGTGACATCATGACAGATTAGAGATGGCTGCCCAAATTTTGACATGCACCAAAGAGGAACAGCATTCTGGGGTCCATGTTTTGTTTCAGTGAATGGGTGAAACCTTTAGAAATTCACTGGCGAATGAAAATCCAGTAAAGTGATGCATGCCTGTCATTGAAAAAAATATTTCTCACCCTCAGGATTTCTCAGAGAACAATACTGCTGAATTTTAGCCACATCTGCAGATAGCTGATTCAGCAAAAATCGACGTTTCTGCTCAATACGAGAAACACTGGTTCCTGCCCAGGCTTCTCCACAGGAAACATAGACTAGAGCATCCCTCTCTAAGTTCTGGATTGTAAACAGTTCTCTTCCCTGGCTGTCAAAAAGTCTCCTCGCAGCGTGGGGCAGATTTAGGAGCCCAGTGCAGGTGTGCAGAAACTGAAACATGAAAATACAGCGATGACATAGCAATCTTTGCAATAACCAAAATAAATATCCCTCAAATGTGTAAGGCTAAGGGAAGGAGCCTGGTCTGGTACTGGGTTCATCTGTAGGTGGCAGATGGTGTCACGGTACAAAGGCTAAACATTAACATAATAAGCAATCATGAGCCGTTAGTAGTGGTCAATGATAGGAAGCTAGTTACTTGGTGGGGCAGCTATCTCTAAAAAAAATATCTCAAATTTGTGTGAAATTTAAATAAAGGTTCCTTTATACAATCCACCCTGTCTGTCTGTCTGTCTGTCTGTCTGTCTGTCTGTCTGTCTGTCTGTCTGTCTGTCTGTCTGTCTGTCTGTCTGTCTGTCTGTCTGTCTGTCTGTCTGTCTGTCTGTCTGTCTGTCTGTCTGTCTGTCTGTCTGTCTGTCTGTCTGTCTGTCTGTCTGTCTGTCTGTCTGTCTGTCTGTCTGTCTGTCTGTCTGTCTGTCTGTCTGTCTGTCTGTCTGTCTGTCTGTCTGTCTGTCTGTCTGTCTGTCTGTCTGTCTGTCTGTCTGTCTGTCTGTCTGTCTGTCTGTCTGTCTCATGTTGCTTTGTACAGTTTGTTATTTTACGATTATGATTAATGAAGCCAAACCATAATCTATTTGGTGGAAGGTATAGGGAAAACCTGGCCATTTAGCAAAAAATAAACTCTCTGAGGTCTCAGATATGAAGTTTTAAAGAAGAATGATGAAAATAACAGCCAATATGAACAATTAAAACATTATAAAACAGTTCAGAGATAAAGATTAAAAAATTCAATCTTGTTTTTTAACCAAGGTTCTGTACCACACCACTAAATCTCATCCACCCTAAGATGTTTTAATTGGGCTTTTTTTTTTCAAGGAAGTTTGGTCTTAATGAATTCTTTTTTGCACGTTGCGTCCGTGGCTTAGGCGTTGCGAGTCAGACTCATAATTCCAATGTACCGCGATCGAAACCCACTGCTGGCTGCGTGGATTTTTATCATGGTATGGGGCGTCACAGGTCGACCCAGCCTAAACAGGGTATCAGGATGGCTGTCCTGGGGAAATAGAAATGGCCGGCGTAATGCTGACCACATTACCCACCTAGTGCCGATGGTCTGAAAAAATATAGGCGCTCTTCCCATATAACCAATGAGCCTGAATGCGTGAAAAAGGTTCTTAACTTTACTTTACTTTTTGCTAATTCTTTTTCCATTTTATTTCCAATCATTTGGTAACTCACCAGGAGACTAAGACAGATCCAAGGAGGCAGCTGGATACACACACCAAATATTCTTCGCAAAACTCGCTTTACTGCCTTTCTAGAGAGGTACAGCGTATCACATTCAGACTAAGGACAGGGCATAACAGACTTTGCCAGCATATGCTCAAGAGTTTTGGTGTAAGAATCATAGAAATGTGTCCTTGCAACTTGGCATCTGACAATGCTGAGCATGTACCCCAACACTGTATACTGTATGCTGCTAACAGACAAGCCCCTGGCCAGTTCCAACCTGATTTAAGACAGCATTTTATGGTACATGGGAAGATCTGGACTGCACATAGAATTTAAATAAAGCCTCTTGATTTAAGTTTTTATGACAGAAGGATTGAAGAAGACTTAAAGAGAATAATGCATACCGCTGGAACCACCAATACTCTAGGTATCAACCTGAACCTGTTGTTTCAGAGTTATCTATAATCTTGTCCCACTGCATTCTGTACCATAATAAATGTTCTCATATGTTACTTTTTGTTAAATGATATACAGTTCTTAATTTTGAGAATACCACAACAAAACTGTCAGTTACGTATTTAATTAGCAAACAATCTTTTGGTGAGAACATTTGGGTGTGCAGTTAATGAGAAGGCTAACAGACTAGCTGCTGCCACTTATCTTGGTGGAGAACTACTTTATGGCTAAACAGAAAATTGACAAGGTCCTCTGGTATCAAGTGGACAGTGTAACAAAATATAAAGTTTCCATACATGGAGAAACTTATTCAGCTGAGGTTGAGAAAGAAGTCAGTATGACACTCAATGCAGAAAAAACAGGCACACTTTTAATCAGTTTGTTATAGTCATCCCCTCGTGAAATGAAATTTTTTGTTTGAAGCCCCACGCTGGCTTTTGCCGGGGGCTCTGAATATAGCCGGGGCATAGATATGGCCTAGCCATAAAATATAGCCTAACGGTTGAAAGGGGTTTCTGGGAACTCTCCACGGGTGATCCTCATCCGCATGGTGGCACTTTGTGTCACCGGGTGTTTATCAGTGGTGTGATGTTCTGGTGGGGTTCAACTACCTATCTACCTTAATCAGGTTGCAACTAGCACTACTGGTATGGATATTCTGTACAATGTATTAAGAAAGGGGTCAGACTGAGTGTAGGAATAAATGGGAGTGCAGTGATAACAACCCTTGATTCATTCATTCACTGATTCACTTATTCATTGATTCATTCATTTGAAAAAAATAAACATGTATAAACACAGAAAATCAATGAACAGAAACTATCCTTTACCATCTGAAATTCAAGTCTGCAAGAGCTCTAGCCTTTCTGCTGAAATCAGATTCTTCTATGAAAGTCTCATGTCTCTTAGTTCTCTTCTGTTTTGAGGCTGTCTTTTTTCTAAAGTTATTGCTCACCATCTGTTTGACAACACATGTGCATAGTTTACCAGGGTATTATTTTACCTACATGACAAAAGTAGAATAACAAATTATAAATGTGTAATTATTATTCAGTTTATATTTTTAAGTCTAGGACTTGATTAGCAGATTGAATTTTTGTTTATTAATGGCCATTTCATTGGAGAAATCACTTAAATATGCAACAATTTCAGAAACTATTTGTCCAATCCACTGTATTCTGACTTTGTTGTTGCTGAAGAAAATGTATAGCCAGAAAAAAGCAGTGATCAAATCACAATGTAATTCAACATTTAAAAAAAAATTGTCAAGGGTCTTGGGTATGCAAAACATTTATTATTTCAATTTGAAAATAATTTTTCTAACATGCATGTATTTTCGTAACTAATTTAAAATAATCATAAACTATTCTAAAACCAAACTTGCCATATGCAGGTATGTACCATTTATGTGGTTTTTATTTTAAATTCTCCTTTAGTCCTAATTAGCAGTAAAAGTACTAATTTAATATATATGGAATAGTTCACAAAAAACGAAAGCAGTTTGTCAAAAAAAATAATGGCAAATGTACATGCAGAAATATTTAATCAGTCATTACACAGAGTATTTAGACAGATTTTAAAGAAACAGATGACCAGACTAGGTACGAGCTACAACCTACATTGGTCAAGTTCGGTCCTACAACACTGACAGCCAAGTCCACATTAGGCTCAAAGTTTTTTAAGACTCTCAGCCTAACTGGTGTTGCTGCAAAAAAAAAAAAGACATTATTAGCAAAGTTTTATTAAGACAATATAGTATATAAAATTAAATCTACAAAATGACAGTAGGAAACATAAAAGGGAAATATGATTTAAAATTTATGATTTATAACTACAGGTGTCAATTATTTCTATTATAGCTTCTATCAAGATTTTTAAACCACTTGGATATTCTGATAATGTAGCTGGTAATAAAAGCCCAGAGTGTGAGAAATCCTAAACTAAACAAGGTAATAATCCTTGAAAAGTAAACAGAATATTTGCAGGGCTACTCTGCTCAGATCGACATCAAATACCTTGCCTACTGATGTGGGTGAACAGGCCTCTTAACCACTCCCATTTACAACCATTTATAATGTCAAAGAGCCAAACAGATTCGGCCTTTTAGTAAGACATTTATTTAGGCATCCATCAGTGTTTACTACAGAAGAGTCATTTCCAAATTCCCCAGTTTGTCAAGCTCATGACTTATAGACCACACTTTTGACACCCCCACACATAAATTTTTTTGTTCTTTTTACAAAATGTTTCACCACTGCCCCCAGGATTTACCAATTGTCCCTCGAAAAGTGGTAACATCCATTTTATAAATCACTGCTGTAGTATGTTGTGTATATATTCTGCATGCTTCTGTCATTGTGTCAGCTGTGGTGGTTAGGTATCTTCCTTGTGAACATAGATTCAAGTTCACTGCTTTGAAAACATTTGTTTCCCTCTTAAACAAGTAATGTCTTGAGATCAATCCAGACTCATGAAGTTAGTACTGGATACTTTTCAAAATCTAAGAAATTGGGAAGGATAAAAAGTAAGGAAAGGAATTAGAAACCTCATCTTATGATTACATGACCTAATATAGATAAGTAACAATTTGTATCGCTATAAAATATGTGTCATTAGACAACCAGTTTACGCTAACACTGATTTGATCTCAGCAACAAAGAATACAAGGGCCAGTTACTAACTTCCAGATATTTCTAGGTTACTTCCTGGCTTTTGTAAGGGTGGTGCATTTGGAATGATAAAACCTTCCATTGGCCAGTCATACTCCTATTGAAAAAAAAAAAGAAAGTAACAAAAATATAAAAGATGCATGCCAGTGAAAGATGAACAAACAACGTATCAAGTAATACAGTATTATGAATTACCTATCAGACTTTAGCCTCTAAAATACAAGGAGCCATTTTTAAATAACATGAAAAGGGATCAAGTTTTTTTTTTTTTTTTAATTGATAATTAATTTCACAGATGGCTTTCTGAAAAAAAAAAATACATCTATTTCTGCACATTTTCAATTATAAATAGCTCCCTGAATTTATAATAAGTAGCCAAGGTGTTTTGTCACACCTTGGGATGCATCGAGCATATGGTGCTTGCCTCAAATTTGTAAACAGCAGTTAGCACTCAAAAGCTGGTGTGGCCTTCATAAAGCTGGCTACGTTTACTTCCCAGGACATTTCTGGGTACCATTTATAGACTGAGTCCACCTGGGAGCCAAGACAAATTGTAATAATTCCACATGATGTTGATTTAAACCTTTGACTGCCAGGCTCCAAGACAAGCAAGCTGTCACAGCTCCCTACTCTGATATTATGAGTTAACAAAATTAGACCTAGGCTACCAGCATATGACATGTTACAAAATATATCCTACAATACTAGGGGGTGTAAGAGGTCCAATATACACAATAGTAACACATGCTCACAATTAAGGAATTCTGAGATGTCAGTAGCAGATTATTTTAGTACATAAATACCCAATGACACAGATCAGAAAGCATTGAATGTTTTAGAGTTGGCTGAATATGGTACAAATAATTTAAATTTTCTTAGACAATAACAGAAATGAAAAGATACTAGTGAATTTCAGTTCATCTTAACAAGCTGAAAATTTGCTTGCTGGCTAAACCCTGCAGTCAGGAGTTTAAATTCCCATGGAGGCACACATTCTTTTTTTTTTTTTTAAACTAATCTAGGCTTTCATGTTGACCCAGTCCTTAAATATTACCAGAAAATGTCCTAGAGAGTCAAGGCAGCGAGACCCACTGAGTGCCAGTTATGGGCTAGCTAATAAGTTATAACCAACAGACTTCAAGGCAAGAAAACGCATCCTTTACTTGGCTTTTACATTTACAAGTAGAAAGTCATAGCAGAATGATATTTACGTAAATTGTAATTATACAATAATTGTTTTACACAAGTTCCGTGACTAGTGAGCAGTGACTGGTCGAAAAGGTGATGGAAATGTTATCTGTTGCAGACAACAATTTTTAAAAAAATCCTTAACCACACGGTTCACGTTGAATGCACAAGACACGTAGCTAAATCCTCGGGCCTAAATTCTCAAGACCTGAACCCCCCGTCCTCTACCACTTATAAAAAGTTGTAAATACAGACAGTAAGACATGCAATCTGAGACTGTTCTAATCTACATTTAAAGGTTAATTATGGCTTAAACAGTTATAAAAAGACTGCATCACATGAAATTGGTTCACTTTAATTGTACAGACAATCAGTGAGTGACATTCAACCCAACATGGACAGCACAATGAGTGATTAACATTGGATGACACAAAGTGCCACCATTCGGATGAGATTCCCCCAGGCACAAGTCCCAGAAACCCTGTTCAATCATTAGGTTATATTAGGTCCACCAACAACAGCTGGAGTGGGGCTCTTAAATAACAAAATAACACACACAAAATGTGTCCCATGGAATGGAACAGTATGGACCATCATCATCCTTACATATGCAATTACAGAATAGCTGTGTACACAAACTCTGTGACTGTTGCATTACTCAAGTAAGGGTGATGCTGGTCACAAGAAAACAAAATACCACACAAGCAGTTTCTATGTGACTGCAGGGACCAACATCACCACTACCACTGCAATTACAGAACAGAGATGAAAAGATGCAGGCACTCATGATTACTTTGTTCAGTTGTCCGTCTGCTCTGACAGGCCATGAGTAGGCAAGTTTATTCCACTCAGGGTTTGAGTGCTCAGTTTTCTTCCACTGGCCAAGGTTATGAAAATTCTCTTGTTTGAAAGCAAATCTGTAAGCAGAAATATTCAAACAGAAGTAAAATATTTGAAATAACAAATACCTTATTCAGTATCACAACACCTATTCCGTCCGGGACATCTCATGGATGGTGCAATGAACAACGACACACAACATCGGTCAATGCATTGCTCACAGAATGGTGCAATGAACAACGACACACAACATCGGTCAATGCATTGCTCACAGAATGGTGCAATGAACAATGAAACACAACATCGGTCAATGCGTTGCTCACAGAATGGTGCTATGAACAATGACACACAACATCGGTCAATGCATTGCTCACAGAATGGTGCTATGAACAATGACACACAACATCGGTCAATGCATTGCTCGCAGAATGGTGCTATGAACAACGAAACACAACATCGGTCAATGCGTTGCTCACAGAATGGTGCTATGAACAACGAAACACAACATCAGTCAATGCGTTGCTCACAGAATGGTGCTATGAACAACGAAACACAACATCAGTCAATGCATTGCTCACAGAATGGTGCTATGAACAACGACACACAACATCGGTCAATGCATTGCTCACAAAATGGTGCTATGAACAACGACACACAACATCAGTCAATGCATTGCTCACAGAATGGTGCTATGAACAACGACACACAACATCAGTCAATGCGTTGCTCACAGAATGGTGCTATGAACAACGAAACACAACATCAGTCAATGCATTGCTCACAGAATGGTGCTATGAACAACGACACACAACATCGGTCAATGCGTTGCTCACAGAATGGTGCTATGAACAACGACACACAACATCGGTCAATGCATTGCTCACAGAATGGTGCTATGAACAACGACACACAACATCGGTCAATGCGTTGCTCACAGAATGGTGCTATGAACAATGACAAGCTGCAACCCTGCATTTCCTCAGTGTTCATGAAATAATCTAGAATTAGGTCACACCCCTATGCCCCAGAGCAGTCCAAAGATTTATGAATGAAACAGTGTGCAGTGCGTAACCTAATTTAAACGTCAGGGTTATAGTGAACAGCACCAGAAAATAGGAATGGCTAAAACTATCTTCAACAAGCGGCAAAAATTATTGACAGCTAGAGAGATAAACAACACATTAACAATAAAAATCATCAAATACTATGTATAATCAACCCTTTTGTATGGTCCATAAACCTTGACAAGAAAATCCATCAGTCTCTGGAAATGTATCTTTTGAAAGGCTGTGAATGAAAAGAGAATTAATGAAGGACAAAAAAAAAGACAGATGAAATATTCTGGCCATATTAAAAGACATTATGTTTTTTTAAACTATATTGGAGGGAAATGTCGAGGGCCAGAGAACACGAGGTTAACAACGTTACAATTGGGAGGACATCATAACAAGATGGATGAACAGCAGTCTGAGAGAGTGTACAACCAAGACAAGAGACAGTGCATGTTGAAGATTCACTGTAGCCAACCTTCACTGTGATTGATTGATTGATTGATTGATTGATTGATTGATTGATTGACTGATTGATTTACAGGAACAATACAACAGTATACAAAATAGTCTGAAACAGAGGACATTACCTTTGTGCACTCTTATACTTTTTTAGCAATGGGTCAGCCACTATAAGAAAAGCAGCTCCACCTGATGGTCCAGCAGAACTGTTGTTGACATCTGTGCTGCAATCATCAACACTTCTCTTGTTTCCAAGGTAGGTCAGCAGCAAGTTGGGGTAAGCCTTGCACAGATTTGATTTATTTACATTAAAATACAATCCAAAACTTTCAAACATATAAAGTAATCAAAATACATATGGGGAAAATGCTGCATCTCTAGCCACATCGCTGCTTTTGTTACTGCCATAACCTCCACAGCAAGATAAAAGCACCCATACCTTCTTTTTGTTCTTCCTTGAACTGTAAAAGCCCAGGAACTTTGTACGTGTTGTTCATGCATCCCTCAGTTTAAATAACTGCATCTCCATCAGCAGAATTCCTTAGAGCTGAGGCTTGAACTTCCACCTCAACTATGAACAGGCTTTGTTGTCTGCATTCTCTGTTCAGTTTTATGCAGACTGAAATGAATGTACACCACTGTGCTGGCACTTGCATCCTATCCTCACCTGGTTCTATGCTCCCAACTGAACAGACCTTTTGAATAATGTCCTTGGCCTGACCTACCCAGGAGTTTCCTCTCTTCAACCTGCCATCCTTCTTACTTGAATGTGTGTGGCAGATCATTGTTCTCACTTTCACTGTTGGAAGCTCAAGGAGGTAACACATCGCGCTACGTGCTGTATTCTTTGCGCATATGAGTTTGAGCCACATGGCAACATTCTGTATCCGATCTAGTCACTCTTTCTGTGTACCACTAAAAGTCAGAATCACCATAGCATACTCAATTACAAAAAGGATCAGACCATGGTATAAGTGAATTACGTGATGCTGCTCAGAGTCAGTCGCAACCATTATCCTTAACATCATGAAACCTCCCTTTGCCTTCATTATCACGTAGTTTATATGTTCATAAAAAGTGAGACTCTGATCAAAACACATTCCTATGTACTTCATTGTAAGAGTTCTCTTCATGATCTCTAAACACAGACTTACAGTTCTGACAGTGTGTTTTTAATATGGTTATTAAGCAAAAACCATGTAATTGTTGACTACGATATACTGACTACCACACCTGCTTCATCGCACCACCTGCTTATGCAATCATGTTCTGTCTGAAAGTCCTCAGCAACCTGCTCCTGGTCTCTGCCTTGACAGTACATACATCTAAACATCATCAGCAAAGAATAATGATCTATGTATTCCTACAAAAGGCTTCCAGGAAAATATTAGTTGGGTTTCTGATTTTATTGTGACCAACAGTGTCCAAAGAGTTGAAGAAAAATGTCAAGGGTTATCTATGGATGAAAACTGCATTAAGCTACCAGGCAAGTTAGTGAATTCATGCGGTGTCTGAAAAATGCTTCTTATCCATATGTGTACTGACATAGAACATGGTTTACACATTTGTACTGCTTGAAACTTTAGTGAAATGTACATTTAGTCTAACAGAATGTTTCTATTCTTTGACATAATACATAATATATGCAATTAATATTTCCTGACTTATCATATAGTTGTTTGGCAAAGTTGTACTATCACTGTTCTAATTATTTCTATTCATCAAAGCACCCAGACTTAAAATAAATTACATTTTTCTGGTGAAAATCACATATCCTTGTATATGTAGCCTCGATGTAATAAGATGTAAGACCCATACAAGATTCTTCTAGAACAAAATATGGTGGCTACTCACCTCAGAGTAAATAGTTGCTTCAGGTGTACATCTCCAGACTTGCCCTGGGTTGCCAAGCGATTTCTTCTGCATACAGACAGCAAACCCACTTACAGCTGACTCTGTACCCAGCAGTGTACTCTCCACTCTGGTACTGGATGCAGTCAAGCACAACTGTGGAGCAGCCTTACAGTACACGTAACCAGTCTGGGTTTGGGGAAAAACACAAGCAACAAATCAGTTTAATGAATCAAATTATCAAACAGATCTTTCAGTTTAAACATTAAAACAAAAGATGCAATGCTTTCTTTATTAATTTACATGGAAAGTTACAAACAGGTTTATATTTATGAGTTAATCATTCAAGCGCCATCTCTACAGTGAAGGTCGGCTGTTATGGATCTTCAATGTAATCAATCTCTCACACCGGTTTATGCTCTCTGAGACTGCTATTTATCCCTCTTGATGTTATACTACCGATTTTATTATTGTCTATCTCCTGCTCACTGTCTTTGACTTTTTGGAAGCAAAAATCTGCCACCAGAGCCTGGCGAATTCAGAGCACAAGACAAGTTAGACAAGGGTATGTATGTGTTTATTACCCAGTCTTTTCAATATTTACGGTGACACAAAGTTAGATCCTAACATGTAAACAGCACAAAGTTGGATCCTAACATGTAAGCAGCACAAAGTTGGATCCTAACATGTAAACAGCACAAGCTATGCTGAGGATGCAGTTCTAAAAGTAGAATTTAAAAGTTAAAAATAGTCTGCATGTTTGAAGAGGTAAGCAATAAAACTATGGCTCCCTATTTCTCCACAGAACAGGCGGTTTGTTGCCTAAGCAAATGTTGTACAACGCACAAATGTGGATCCAACAATACTCTTGTTGAGTAACCGTTAACAGCAAACTACCCTACTTTTCTTCTGCTCACATGTTAGCAGGCGTGGAACCCAACAAGAACACACTTTTCTTATGTTCGGTTTGTTGTGTAAAATTCTAGCAACTGTACTTGTACTCTGTTTAAGTGCGCTAGAAATGTCCTCAGCAGTCATTTTCCGATCTTGATCCATGATTTTCTTCACTTTTTTATCACTGCACTCTGAGGGTGGTCTTCCACACAATGGCATTTTAACAACATTTATGTGACCACACTTAACTCTTTGAGTCCCAAGGAACGCATCACGCGCTCATTTTTTACTACTTGGCGGCCCAAACAGCGCATGACGTGTGACGGTTTTTAATTTACCACATATCGGTAATTACACGCGAGCCGCTCAATTTAAACTTCCTTTCCGGTTCTCAAGTGTGTAGTGTACACACGTGGAGTACATTCGTTTGGGTCTAGTGAGTTTTTAACGCTTTAAATCGATATTTGTGTGGTCTACTACGTTACCAAACAATTGTCTGAAAACAATATGTCCAATCAGTCATCGTCTTCACGCCCATCAAAGTGATTTACTGTTTTTAGAATCATCAAATTTGATAAAACAGTGGATCGATTAAAGTAGTGTGGAGTTGGATAATGATAGTAGCGATGTGAAATTTCCCCAAACCGTTGACGAGTCAAGTTTTGATGAGGATGCGTGCGTAATTTACCTCCTGCTAAGAGGACAAAACTGACTAATTCTGCCTTGGCAACACAAGAGAAGCACCTCGTAACGCGACACCAGCTAGTCCAAATGTCAGCGCTTCTAGTACTACTATCCATATCATCTAAAACCATAGATATATATCTATAAACAGACTGACATGTTTACAGTGCCTTTACAGTTTTTTCTATGTGAGGAATTCAATTGTTTTTAGAAAAGTCACTGTTTGTGCCACTGGAGAATATATTTTGACGCGTTATCATAGTGTTATTAAAATTGCTATAAAACAACAACTATTGCACATTTTGCTTTAATATTGGCTGTGCATACTAATAAGTGGTGTACCTTCCTTTGTGATGCATTTTGGATATACTATATCAAGAATTTTGGGATCAGCTTCTGGGTAAGTGGAAAAAACTTGTTCATAATTTACTCACCTCTCAAACTAAGTCACTGTTTTCTCTACTAAAAACTAACTAACAGTATAATTGTTTGTTGTAGCAGTATGCTAATATTAATCCATTTATGTTTAATTTTATGTATGATATGTGTATGTTGGACATCAGCTGCAGTTGTGTGGTTTGTTTTAAAGTGCTGCTTTTGTTCAAAGTCAAAATCATATTACCCCCCCCCCCCCCGGGCCTCTGGTGCAAAAACCCCTGGGACTCAAAGAGTTAAACTGCCTGCACCATTTTTTTTTACTGAAGCACATGAAGGACTGGATCTCTGAAATAAAAAAAGTACGATTGAATGATGAAAGACAGTACAGTTTGGTGGTGGTGTTGTTGTTTATCATCTGCCTACTTACAGACTGATCAGGGGGGTGTCATCCTTATCCGCATAGGACAGCCGGTTACATCATGCTGGTGAAGCCTTCATGGGTGCTCTAATTGTTAAGGACATCTTCTATGGTGAATTACAGAGGGGTAGATGTCGAGGCCAACCAATACTATGACATAAGGATGTGTGCAAGTGAGATATGAATGATACAGGTATTGAGGTGGACTCGTGGGACAAAATGTCATTGACTGTGTTGCGTAGAGAGAGCAAATCAGGAATGAAGGAGAAAATGATCGTAGAAAGGATGAAAGCTGAGCATCTGTGATGAAACACACCAAATACAAATTATGATATCAAAAGTCCTAAAACACCATGCTATAACTGTGGAGGACTGTTCTTCATGCAGGCATGTCTAACTGGTCACACTTGCGATCGCCACAGGTTGGGAGTCCCACGGCTCCTCATAGCACAATATAACTCTTTCATTTGGAAAGACCAGAAGATGACAACAACAACAAAGTTTATAACTTCTCTGGATGCTAAACCGAGTATCTTGATCTGCCCTGTTCGTCTGCCATGGTAAACCTGGAGGTAGCAGCCAGGAAGGAACAAACCAATAAATCGATCAACCAAGAGTGTGATTCTCATTGGTGGGATTTATTTCTGAGCAGTTCTCACCAATCTGGGACATCAGGTTATTTCAAGGTTATTTTTTAGTGTGGTCATTACAGGTGTCCTATTTATAACTTCTTAAAAGACTGAGTGGTGTAAGCAGGTTCATCCTGCTGGATTGGCATCCAGAATACAACTCTTTGAGCTGTAGAGTGTCAAAACTTCAGCTGGCAGCCCAGAGTAAAAACAAAAAACAGACAATCTGATCAATCAGTGAATTACTGAATCAACACAAGACTCACAGAAAGACAACCATGAACATTAACAGTAGTTTGGGGTGTGTGCATGATGGATCTTTATCATCAACACTGACTTGGTTAGTCATTCAGTCACTGTAATGGGGGATATTTTCACCCAGTTTAGGATGGTTGGGGGGAAAGCCCAAAGCTGACCTAAAACACCGAGATAGTCCAGATACTTGGATTAAATGAGAATCTGGAGATAGGTGACTAACCACTGGTTATCACGGGGACCACGATGATGCGACCCAAGGTCGCCACGTGAAAAGTAAAGGACCACCACGTGTTGTCACGTGAAACGAACCCGTGGTATGTCAGACTTGACTCTGGTCAAGTTTAGTTTGTGTCGACCTGTTGGAGTGAGAGGACGTGCGACTGAAAGTGAGAATGTCTACGTGAGTGCCTGTGGAGAAAGGAGACCCTGCCGACGAAGTGTGAAGCCGAGATCGACCATGCCAGTGTGTGAGATGCCCAGAACCTCAACGTGAATCCATGGGATCCAACTTTGGTCAGTGAATGCTTGAAGAAGACTGTTCGTTGAAGGCTGTGTGAGTTTGGGTACGAGAGCTGTTCACTAGGACACCGACCGGACATTCTAGTTTGTAAGTGTAAATACGTCAATAAATTCATGTCTCGTAAGCTCATATCGGTGTCGGCTTGTGCCAGTTGTGTAACGTGGAGCGTGTGAGAAGATCATCCACCACACACTCATGAACACTGCCTAGACAACGAGAAGAAACACACACCACTTATTACAGTCACCACAATATACATCTAATAGAATCAAGACAAACTTCTCTAGTAAGAAACTCTTTGGCTTGTTTCAATTGCTGGTTTTTAGTAAAGTTTCTGTTTTTGAACTTGCAAGTGTACAGATGGAAAGCTGTGGCAGGACAGAGGCTAGCACACTTGCTCGTCCACTAGGTGGTTATCGGGTGCTGAAATCTTCTTCAAGGTAAGGATATTTTTTTTTTACCAGTCTTTAGGTCAAGCCAGCCTAAAATGGTAAATGTGAAATTTCCTGGGAAGTAAAGATGGCTGGCATGATATTGACCACGTCACCCACTGAGTGTCAACCATATACTCAATATGCTTTGTACATGCGTGCCTGTATCTGGAACTTTATGGGTGTAATACACTCTGAGTAGATGTCAGAATGTTCTTAACCTAAAATTAAAAAAAATAACAGGTGTAGCACATACTTTATGTTGTAGAAAGTGAGATGTACAATCAGAGTAAGCAGCTGTGCCATGTAAGCTTGGAAGTTCACTCACAACTTCCCACTTGCTGGAACTGAAACATGACATTAAGAAAAATAGCAGCAATAGACATTGTGAATTGTTCAACATACATATTCATGGTAACAGTAAACAATCCATTTTCAAACCCTGAGACCTGACCAGACACAAAGTATAAAAGTAAAAGTAAAGGACCCTTTCCACGCCTTTAGGCGTATAGGGCATATAGGGCTAGACCTATATTTTTATAGACCAACGGCACAAGATGGGTGATGTGGTCAGCATCACGCCGGCCGCCTCTACTTTCCGGGATTGCACCCGGTACCCACTCAAGGCTGGGTCGACTTGGGAGCCAAGGTCATTTGACACAAAGTATGCTGACTGTTTTAAATAAGTCTTCAAATTCCTATCTCATTTGTAGCCAATATGACAGTTTGTGCTATCAAAGATTGTTTAGCACTGCATTAAAAAATTTAAAAAAAAAACTTATGGACCCTCACTGGAGATGACCTTTCTAACAAACAGTACAGGCATTGATACTGAGTTTAGTTATGTTGAATTTAGTTGACTGTTTTCTTCTTCTTCTTCTTCTTCTTCATCTTTTTCTTTGCGATCACCAGCTGTAAACTTTGGCAGAAAAATCTAGTTGATGGTTTACTTAATTCACTTTGGGACCTTGGTCTTGACCCAGAACTAGAGTCGCATGCACATCCATTTTACAGATCTGGTTTATGTGTATGCAGACTGTCTCACGTAGATGCACTCTGACTTTGAAGAAAACATCCCTAATTAGTCAGATTTGACAACATGCTTGTTAGAATGGCAGTGGATCGATTCCTCTCCCCCCCCCCCTCACAATGGAGCCCCATAAACTCACATTTAGGGATTAAGCTGAGTTAAGAGCCAACATAAAAAAATTGGGTGTATCACCATAAGCGCTCAATACCCATCTTCAGCAGTCAGTGTAGAGTTCAAGTACTAATGGTGCCATGTATGTATATTCTTTCCTTTTCTGTCTGTATATTGAGTGTCAGCAAGTTTCTCTGGATCACTCAGTGTTGCATCATCTCTCCAGACCATAATGATCTATGCACTCTTCAGAACTGTTTACATGCTCAATTATCTTGACCACATTTGTCTTGATCATATCAATTCACCACCCAGTTGTTTTTTTAATTTCCAGACACAAAGGATTATCTTAGCAAGGAAAAGGCATGCACTTACTCTCTGACCAAAGGTTCTTCTTCAGGTGTAACAGCTTCCTTTACAATCTTTCTTTCTCCATTTTCATAAACAGTGGCCTTGTCCAAAAACAAATGTAATGCATAAGCTGTAAAATAAAACAAACAAAAAACATTCCTGGAGTCAAACACAAAATGATTATTCTTTAAACTGAGTGGAAAGAAACAGATTAAAATGTTTAAAATATGGCTACCAGATTAAAAGCTACTAAACTAAAGCTTATTTGACCAATAACCTCTTCAGTTCATGTTCATTATTCTCCCTGATTTTCAATGAGTTGTGGTTTCCTTCTACAGTTCATTATATGCTCAGTGGGTGAACAGAGTTTCTTCTGATGATAATTATAAATTATTTGATTCTCACTATTACCCTGTTGGAACACTGAACTGGAAGAATACAACTGGCATCAGTATACTTATCTGATGCACATTTTGACAATGATAACTTCAGAGACTAAGATGAATGAAATGGCACTGTTGGCATAAACTCATAGAATAGGTTAACAGGTGATCCCCTCCAACTTTCACTGGCATCTGTTTAAACTGAAGTAACATTAGAATTAAAAATTCATAACCTATTAAGCTATTCAGGTTCTATTTTTCACTTCTGAAATTGTTTAGGAATTTAAAGCCTTAAAGTCAATCTGTAAAAGATTTATTTATTCATGATAAACAATATTCAGCTCTTAACATAAAGTATATGGTAATACGCCTCAGTGTTATGACTTGCTAATGGCCTAGAACTATAAAGTGATGCAGATTTCACAGGCACTTAGTCTTTCTTCTTGGGCCTACGGCGGTGTATAGGGCGGTTCGTTTTCGGCGGATCGTTGCCGCTTGCTTAAGGTCTTGAATGTTTGTTAGGTCCATGATTGAGCCCTCCTTGATGATGCTTCTACATAGAGTCTCTCTTGGTCTTTCCCGTCTTCTTTTCTCTTCTGGTGTTCATATGAGGGCTTGATAGGAGAGTCTTGTCTTATCCATTCTGACTGCATGGCCGATGTAGTTCTAGTGGCGCTTTCTTATAAATGTGTATACACTGTCTTGCTCGGTCTCTTATCTTATTTGCGTATTGGATCTAAAATCTGTCTAGTGGAGATTTAATATTCTTCTCAGACATTTGTTTACAGGTATTAGGCAACATGTTTTTTGTGTGTGTGTCAATGGAGTAATCAATTCATTTGTTAGATAATGTTTATTTTTCTAATTTACACACTAACGTGGTGTGTTTCTTGGGACTCAAAGAGTTAATTTTGTGTCAAAACTGTTACTGACAGAATAAATGGATGGTTACCTAAACAGAAACCAAACAGAAGTTGCATCAAACTTACTGAATGGAGAAATGTATGGTTCACCAAATGACAACCAAACAGAAATTTCAGGCTGCTCTACGTTATTCTCAATCTGCCTGGCTTGTTCTTGTTCCAGACTTAGTACATCAGTGATTTCACAGCCGTTTTTGTCATACAGTTTAGTGGCAACCGAAATCAGGTTTCGGCTCACATTTTCAGAAAATTTTGTGCTGGACAATTCATCTAAGAGCTACAGAATTAAAAATGGAAAAATAAAATATAAACAAATTTGTGCATGTATACATTCAGGCAGACATAAAAATAGAGCTTGACAAACAGCGAGTGTGACAGATATTTAGATATACAAAATTAAGACAGAAAAACAGACAGCAAAAAGAAACAGTGAATGCTGAAACGAAAAAAAACAATGCTGAACAGAAACAAAAACAGGCAGTGAACAAAGAATGAATAAATTCAGAAATCTCTTGGGGTATACTGGGCCAAGCTCTTAACTAACTTTAAACCATTTTCAAATCAAGTTACATATTGTCAGTTCTAGCATTTGCCAGTGAAACCACTTTAGACAAGGAACAAACGTTAAACGTTTTTGAAAACAAATTACTGATCAATGACAAATGGGATGATTTAGAAATCAGAGAAATTACGATACAACTGCTTGCGTTAACTATTAACAACAAAGTGGTAATATACTGAGCACATTTTGAAATGAAGTGAAAAAAAAAATCACAAGATAGGCACTAAATTGGGCAAACAAGTTGACTAAGGAAGCAGGGCTCCCTTCCACTATACCCCCCCCCCCCCCCCCCCCCCCCCCCGCCCGAAAAAAAAAATATATTCTTCGATACAAATTTATGGGAGAGGCCAGAGGTGCCAGTCTATACTCCATACACGATATGGGAAAAACTGAACGGATCTGGAATTGACTGCAAGCCTTATGTGACAAATACACACAATAGCATTATAAATGAATGAATGAATGAATGAATGAATGAATGAATGAATGAATGAATGAATGAATTAATGAATTAATTAATGATGGAATTTAACAAGATCTTTAACTTACCTTCTGCATCAGCTTCTCTCTGCTGTTGTTACTATCAATCCCTCTCAAAGCTTCACGGATATTAAAGTAAGTATGTAAATGCTCCATGAACTTTTCCATTTTCAAAAACCTGAAAACCAATTTTGTGAAATGTTCATGCAAACCATCTGACAAAAACCTCAAAAACAGCATTTACACTACACAGTTGAATTATATAAAACACACATGTCGGTCTCTGGCTCATTACAAGAATTATAATACATGTTGGTCTAGCACGCTAGAAAAGAACCAGTGAAAAGGCAAGTCTAAGTGAACACATTTTTTTAAAATTACTGTCCATACTCAAACAGTGATGACTAAATTCAGACAAGATTTTTAGATTTTAAATTTAAAACAATATCACAAATTAAAACTGGAGGAAGATGTAAATCAAGAAATTAAAAAATACAATTAGAAACAAAACTAAGCTTTGTAACAAGAAGGAGATATTTTTTATAAGTATATGAAAAATTAGAAACAGACTAAAAAAAATAAATTCTTGCACACAATGTACAATATAGGTCTAGCCCTATATGCCCTATACGCCTAAAGGCGTGGAAAAGGGTCCTTTACTTTACTTACTTACTTACACAATGTACAACTTACATTTACATATGGTTTTTGATAATGGAAAATGACTAAACAAGCAAGGAGACTTTCAAAAAGACAGTCATAATTTCTTACTTAAATAATGAGAAGAGAAAACCTGAATCACATTGTAACACAGTTCTACCACACCAGAAGTGATGCTACATGAATAATATACTGCTAGAGAACAAGAGGTTGGCAAAATATGTTCATCAATGTCAGCCGACAAGGCTCTTGATCATGTAAACAGGATTGATTATGATGAATGAATGTCAATTTGGGGGTCTGAATTTTATCTATCACCACCAAACCTTTAGTATCAATGTGTTAATTAATAAACATGTAATTCCAGTTAGGACTTTTACACAAGCCTGTTTTGTCAAACTGAATATCTCTAATAAAGATGAAAAGAAACTATTTAATCATATCTCAACTTCAGTGCCAGGTTTAGAAAGAAAATACCATACAAAATATTTGATTTGTTCTAAAACGACATTAACATCACAAAATATGAAAGTGTGGTCACTCTTGCCTGGAGCATTACCCTAAGTCTGCAGCCTCTAGTTCCAACCAGCCGGTCATCAGCACTCAGCTCTTGAATATGTGACATATGATATTTCAAGCCTTCCTTCTTGAAGTGTCAAAAACAGATAAGTTAGGGGGGAGATGGGGAGGGGGGGGGGGGGGGGGGGAATAGTTATGTTAAAAAAATATGACTTAGCAAACTATAATAACTATGTTTGTTATAAACAATTTTTTACTTACTTACTTACTTACTTAGTCGCTCCTCTTCTACCTTGGGGTGTAGAGGTTTGCCAGAGAGATCACCAGACGTCTCTATCAGCAGTTTTTTTTCTGGCTTTGTTCCATTCCAGTCCTCTGTCAGTTAGGGACTGTCGGATGTTGTCTTCCCAGTGCACCCTGTGTCGTCCTGGAGGTCTGGTTCCCTGGTTCTTAGCCTCCCATGCCTGCCATGGTGGCCGATTTTCTCCCATTCTGCATACATGTCCAAACCATCGTAACTGTGACTTATCCACTCCAGTTTGTAAGGACTGGGTATCAAGATCTTGACGTATAGTCTGATTGCAGACTTTGTCCCTTCTTGTCACTTGGACCACCTTTCTCAGATATTTCCGAGGCCTGCAGCTGGCTTCTGTGAGCTGTTGTCATTGCCCATGACTCACACCCATAGGTCAGGACTGGTACATAGGTAGAGCGGTAAACAGCCATTTTCGTCCTCTTGCCAATTTCTCTTTTGCTAAGAAACCCTCGGTTTATGGCCTGGAAGAGTCTCCCAGCATAAACAATTTAAAAAAAATTTTATTCTTCTGTTTATAGTTGATGCTGTGTGACACTGGTATCCTGTTCAGTGTACTACCAATAATTTTTGTATATGTTCCTCCATGCCATGATGGTAAACATCTCCTTACATACTTCACTTTCTCTGTTGTCAGGACATACTACAGTTTTTCCCAGGTATCAACATGTGTCAGGCCTAGCAAGCCGGCAGTGGTGCTATCCTATACTAATACACGAGAAAGAATGAATTATAAGAATGTTGAATGGTGAATTTTGAGTTAAGAATCAACATCACAGCACTCGGGACACTCCCATAAAGCCTCTGTTAACTCTTCGAGTCCCAGAGGGTTTAGCATCACAGGCCCAAGGGGTAGACAAAAGAGATGTAAAATCGGCGCATCGTGCGTTCATTGGGCTTCTAGGCAGTAATCTATGAACGTATGATGCGTTCCTTGGGACTCAAAGAGTTAACAAGTCTTTTCTCGCGCTGTTCTAAGTATTCAATAAGAACTCCTGCATAACTCACATGGGAAACAGAATACTGTAGACTAAAAGCAACAACACTTTCTGTGAAATGTCCAGAGCCTGGATACACACATGCAACTGAAATGTCCAGAGCCTGGATACACACATGCAACTGAAATGTCCTGAGCCTGGATACACACATGCAACTGAAATGTCCAGAGCCTGGATACACACATGCAACTGAAATGTCCAGAGCCTGGATACACAAATGCAACTGAAATGTCCAGAGATTGGATACACACGTGCAACTGAAACGTCCAGAGCCATATATATATATATATAAAGACTAGACTTGAAGAAGACTAATAATGAGTGCAGACTATCATCACAGCACTCTGGACACATCCATAGATGCTCTAATCTTCTCCTTAATAGCTCCAAAAGCATAAAGAAACTGTTAATACCTGATCTGTTTTGATTAATTACACATCATATGCCCTTAGTGATATGCTAGTGATATGTCTGGTGTCTGACATTTTCACCAATGTCCAGCTAAACTCCAGGAAGCAAATGAATTACATTTCAATTTAGTCAGGCAAAAATCATCCACCCACAACCACATTTAATGATGTGTTTAACATGTACAGACTTACTTCCTCCTTAGAAACATCTTCTCGCAATGAATGAAGCCTTTTTTTGATGTGCACAAGTGACTCTTTGTATCTGTCAACGTCACGATCAGCCTAGAACACATGTATTAATGATAGATCAGATGTCATGCTTCCCTAAATTAACTTATTCTACAGTAGGCAAAAGGCAATACAATGGCCCACTTTGTAATGTACAAATATCTCTAAAAAAGACACAAAGTAATGTGTGCAGACACACATTGATGTATTAGAAAGTCCTAGTTACAAAATGTTAAACAAAACAATATTTTGACAGTATATGGGATAAGTCATAAAGGGCTTCTTGATAAGGAAAAGAAATTATTCTCAGTGATGCTATTTAACTGGGTCACACCAGGAAACAAAATTGTAAATAATAAAACATTTAACAGGAACGAAGTGAAAACGAAGATTGTGCTGTTTAAAGAAAGGAAGCAATATTCAGACTATGTTTAAACAAATATTTGAAAATAACTAAATCTGCAAAGAAAGAAAATGTACATACACGAATATAAGTATTCAGTCATTGTATGTTCCAAAATGAAAGTGATTTTAACAATTAAATGTGCAAGTAAACATGATAACTTTATTGTACACATTATATTCAAGCATTTCATAACAAGAGGTCTCCAAGCTTTATTTTATATACAGCAAGCCTAAATAGGAATTCTATCTTAGTCTTCATACATTTCATAAACTTAATACCTCAAAAGGTTTATAAACAACAGTTATAATTACATTCAAACCTTACTTTCTCTGAGGCTTCATATAATTCTTCTGCAGACATGGACAAAACTGCTACGTCTGTAACTTTCTCTTTCTGATTATTCAGAGCACAATCAATCTGTGAGAAAAACAATATAAAATCTGGAAACATGTTCTAAATAAAGTGTTATTGTGTCTAAATATTTGTACATTTTTCATATGTAATATCGCATACTTTTCCAATGAAATAAGTGCACACCTTGGTCTTATCATGTGTGTGCGTGAGTGTGCATGTGTGTGCACGCGCGCACGCATGCAGAAGCCTGTGCATGTGTGTGTAAAAAGTGTTGATATTTCACACCTTGGTTTGGTCTAGTTTGTGAAGTTTAGCATTTCACATCTTGGTGTGGTCTTATTTGTAAAATTTAACATTTCGCATTTTGGTCTGGTCTTTTTTGTAAAGTTTAACATTTCAAATTTTGGTTTATTTTAATTTGTGAAGTTTAACATTTCAGATCTTTGTCTGGTCTAGTTTGTAAAGTTTAACATTTCACATCTTGGCGTGGTCTTATTTGTAAAGTTTAACATTTAAAAATTGGTTTGGTCTGATCCAGGTCTATTTAACTGGCGACCCATGAGTCAAATCTTGCCCGTGAAGGCCTACTAAGTGGCCTGTGGATCATTGCCAGTTGTACTATATTACTTTTCTTTCTATGCCAGATTCTGGTTTATAGCCCATTACCATCCCCATGTGAAAAATTACAGCCCCTGAGTAAATTTTGATGAATAGACCAGGTCTAATCTGTGAAGTTTAGCATTGCTGTCTAACTGATAAAATTTGCTATTAAATGTTTCTGTAAGAAGGTAGTAATATTAACAATATTAACCCTCATGTGCTATTCTGTCACCAAAAATATTTGCATAACATGTTTCCATCAGTGAATCTAAATGACATGTAAACAGACTTTCTTTACTTTGACTTTACATACCGGTGATGTACTACATTAAACATATCAAACTCACATTCTGTTTATGATGTTGGGCCATTGTCAGCTTGCTTTTAAGAGCATTCTTTGCAGCTGTTAAGAAACTCTGTGTACCAGAGGGACTAAATCCTTCTCCAGTTGAGATCCACAGTGGACCAAGAAGAGGTGTCTTCCCTTGGTGTATTATATTCTCATCTAAAACTGAAACTGGACAGAAGAAAAACTGCGTCTGGGAAAACATATATTTTTCTTTTTGCCTGGTTTAAAAGGAAGTCAGTAAATTATAAATAACTGATACAACAAAAATTAATTAGATAAGAGCTTTATATAACTTCTTTAAATGCTTTCATACCTTGAGCTGGTGCTAACTGCATGTATGTGTAGCTCAAACAGCACCAAATGGGTGATGTTATGAATATTGTGCCACCCACCTTTACATCCCAGAACATTTCCTAGTAAACATTTATTAGGATTGAGCAAACAGGAGGCCCAGGCTGATTTTGAAATGTAGAGATTTAAGTCTATGATCACAAGTAGGCAGGCAAATGTACTAGCTACTCTCATAATACATCTCCAGGAAACAATCCTTACATAGGTCACCTCTTTTATCTTCAAACCAAGCAGGCTGTTCTAAAAGCAGACCCATTCAGCTATAACTACACCTCATTATCGGACCCATTCAGTTATAACTATACCTGATACATGGACACGCTCAGCTATAACTACACCTGATATGTGGACCCATTCAACTATAACTACACCTGATATGTGGATCCCATTCAACTATAACTACACCTGATATGTGGACCCATTCAACTATAACTACACCTGATACATGGACCCATTCAGATATAACTACACCTGCTACATGGACCCATTCAACTATAACTACACCTAATACATGGACACATTCAGCTATAACTACACCTGATATGTGGACCCATTCAGCTTTAACTACACCTGATACGTGGACCCATTCAACTATTACTACACCTGATACATGGACCCATTCAACTATAACTACACCTGATACGTGGACCCATTCAACTATTACTACACCTGATACATGGACCCATTCAACTATAACTACATCTGATACATGGACCCATCCATTCAACTATAACTACACCTGATACATGGACCCATTCAGCTATAACTACACCTGATACATGGACCCATTCAACTATAACTACACCTGATACATGGACCCATTCAGATATAACTACACCTGATACATGGAACCATTCAACTATAACTACACCTGATACATGGACCCATTCAACTATAACTACACCTGATACATGGACCCATTCAGATATAACTACACCTGATACATGGACCCATTCAACTATAACTACACCTGATACATGGACCCATTCAACTATAACTACACCTGATACATGGACCCATTCAGCTATAACTTCACCTGATACATGGACCACCCATTTAGCTATAACCACAGCTGATACATGGACCCATTCTGCTATAACTACACCTCATTAATGGACCCATTCAGCTATAACTACACCTGATATGTGGACCCATTCAGCTATAACTTCACCTGATACATGGACCATCCACTTAGCTATAACCACAGCTGATACGTGGACGCATTCAGCTATAACTACACCTCATTAATGGACCCATTCAGCTATAACTAGAGCTCATTAATGGACCCATTCAGCTATAACTACAGCTCATTATTGGACACATTTAGCTATCACCACACTTGATAATGGAACCACTCAGCAATAACTATACCTGATATGTGGACCCATTCAGTTATAACTACATATGATAATGAACCCACTCAGCTATAACTACACTTGATACATGGACCCATTTAGCTATAACTACATCTGATATGTGAGCCCATTCAGCTATAACTACACCTGATACATGGAACCATTCAGATATAACTACACCTGCTACATGGACCCATTCAACTATAACTACACCTAATACATGGACCCATTCAGCTATAACTACACCTGATATGTGGACCCATTCAGCTATAACCACACCTCATTTTTGGACCATTTCAGCTAGAACTACACCTGATACATGGACCCACTCAGCTATAACTACACTTGATAAATGGACCCATTTAGCTATAACTACATCTGATACATGGACCCATTCAGCTATAACTACATCTGATATGTGAGCCCATTCAGCTATAACTACACCTGATACATGGACCCATTCAGCTATAACTACATCTGATATGTGAGCCCATTCAGCTATAACTACATCTGATATGCAAGCCCATTCAGCTATAACTACATCTGATATGCAAGCCCATTCAGTTTTAACTACATCTGATATGCAAGCCCATTCAGCTATAACTACATCTGATATGCAAGCCCATTCAGCTATAACTAAACCTGATATGCTAGCCCATTCAGATATAACTATACCTGATACATACTTTCGGGGACTTCCAGATGTAGAAAAGGATGATCGTCTATACCAGTCACCAAGGCACTTGATGATTAGGTTGAAGTACATATACAAGACTTTTAAGTGGTCTCCACAGTGAAATGATCAAACCATTTGCCTCATGCTCTAAAGGTCACAGAGTGCATTGTTCAGTTCACATGAGCTATTTTTATGGAGATCCTTTGGGGCTGTAATTGGAGTTCCTGATTTGTGATGTACTCTCAAGCTTGCAGACTTCCATTTTGCAAAGAGAGACTGAGTCATATATGATGAAACCTAGTGCAGTGAAGTCCATCCTCTCTACTTTAAACATTTAGTCTAGATCGGAGACATACAAGTATTACTTTTATAAACATATCAATCTTTAAAGAAAATGAGATCTGACATGTTTTATATTTATGAAGATAAAACCAAAACAGCAAAGTGGTAAGGCAGCCGAAAAAAATCCAGTTTTTTTTTTTTTCAACTGTCTAATTTTTAAGCAGCTTAATGTGGAACAAACCCCTGAATATAAAACTTAACTCTTGACTTTGAAGACTTACTGTCTGCAAGATCACTGATCTCATTCCCGTCCAAGTCGAAAGCAATCTTTGCACAGCTGTGTAAATCCAACTTGATGGTGCAGCAGTTGAAGAACTGTTAGATTTACAAAACAAAATAAATTGAAATCAGTACATCTATTCTTGAAGGTATAATATAGATCATTAATGTGTTATAAATTCAAAAACATATGACTAGATAGTCATTAATATGATACATAATTGTAAAGAAGTAAACCAGCAGAGTATCAAACAAGTAAATATTTTTGGGAACTATTGTTTACGATTTATGATTCTCTTTAGCCTGATGATACCAGAGAAATTCTTCTGTCTTCAAGGCCAGATAAAAGATATGTTCAGTACAGAAAACAGCTGTATTTTAAAAATATTTGCAGATTTCATGTCATAAACCTTTTTTAGTTGCTGTATTTTGCGTAGGCTGAATACTGGTATTAACAAGCTTCAAATTTCCTCATTTCATGTTGTATCTCTCCTTGTTTTGTAAGCAAATTCTTCACAGGAATTTCTTTTCCTTTACAATTATCCTCTTTTTCTTTATGGTTAATGCACAATTTGTGCAAGGTTTGTAAAAGTACTGTATTTCAATACTGCATATCCCCTTGAATATTTAGGCAGAGTAATTCAAGGCTTAGATGTTAATAGCAGAGAATGAAGAGTTGGAAACAGAAATGAAATTCACATTTGTTTAAAGTACCACTAAGTACTGGAATCATGAAGGCTAGAATAATTAAAAGTTAGGGCATGTAGAAAGAATGTTAAATAATGTAGAAACAAAAATTATGCACACAAAAGTGTGGAATGGGAGTAGCCCACGAAGCAGAACAAGAAGACAGTGGAAAGATAATATACAGGCAAATATTTGAAGATACCAACTGGAAAGAGAAGGAAAGCCATAGAGATGAATGGAGACAGATGATATCTACAGCAGTGAGCATCAAGGGCAAGGAATGCTGAAGAAAAATGAATGTGGTCTCTTCCCTTGATGTTGGGATGGAGTCCGCAGATAATTTAACAATTTTCAAAAAACATGTAGGGGGAACTTTTCCAGCCTAGGCATAGAACAGTGAGTCTCTCTGTGGGTTCTGAGCTCAGAGAGTGAAATGGGAACTCTGCAACACAGTCTCTATGAACATGATAGTGTACTTTAGCACTAGCTGAGATAAAAAGTTCCTATGTCAGCCTCACTCAGGAAGATGCCAGCCTTTTTTAAGGCTGAAGCAAGTAGAACACCAATGCATCACATCTCAGTCATCAATCTTGCGAAAATGCTTTCAGGATAATGTTTTGTGAACAGAAACATCACATTATACCTGACATTTCATACTAGTTAATACAAAAATTCTTGAGGTTGTTGCATTGGCGTTACGTATTTTAAAATAATTAACCAAAATTAAATCGTACATCCTGGATATTCTTGAGATCTGCCACAACTTCACAAGCATTTGTGCTCTGGCCATTTTTGTAAACCAAGATTCTCACTTTCTTGTTTTCACAAAGAGCTCTGAAAATTATATAACAAAAGAAAAGTGAATGTAAATCATTTAATCTAAACCAAATATAAAACATTATTGTCTTGCAGCTATAGATGTTTACTTGTGACAGAATAACTATGATAACAGTAGGTTTGCATTGGTTACTTACTAATAAAATATTGGCACAATCAAATGCTGAATTATCTGTTAACACAATGCTTATTGTTTGGTTATTAGATTTAACACATTTTATACCAGTCTGTTGTTTTATCTAAACTATTACACTCATATATAGGGAACAAGAAACAAGAAGCCAGTGAGCCAGTACACTTAAATACCAACTGACACCCTTATTAAGACATCTAAACATAAGTATGAGCCCACAGAAACAGATTATAAACGGAATATTCATACCGACACTATACTACCAATGCCAGACTTGGACATGATTCAAAGGCTAACTTACATAAAATTAACACCTGTGATATGATATGCCTAAGAAAAGCATTCACCATTCAAGTTAGAAATGATATTATCTAACAAACTGTGGGAACGACACCATGCAACAAATTCATTGAGAAACAGATGATCAAATGGTTTATTCATCTAGTAAGAATGCAGACAGAACAATCATCAACGCAGGTGCTGTACATGAAAATATCTATTGTGAAAAAAATCAAGTTGCCCTAAGAGAAGATGGATTAGTGACATTCCTCATCCACACTGGCACCTTTTCATCTTTCCTGACGACAGTCTTATACTGTGCTATGAGGAGGCATGGGACTCACAACCCATGGCGAGTGTGATTAGCAAAACCTGCCTGTGTTAAGATAAGACTTCCGCAATTATAGTACAGGACTATTGTCAACATTTGTGTTTAGCTCAGTCATACCTGACCAAGACCTGACCTAGATTGGTCAAAGAGCTTCTATATGGGCACAGAGTGTTACTAACCATTGCTGTGTTTGTAGCAGTGGATTGCAAACTGTTCCTCCCCCTCCCCCCCCCCCCCCCCCCCCCCCCCCCCCCCCCCCCCGATGCTTAACAGCAAAAGTGGAAATAAATGATGATGAAGATGATTACAACGATATAGCATAAAACAATATGTGATAAAAGAAAGTTACGCAGACCATATATAATTTTTTAAAATAGGCATCTCATCATGCAACTAGTAAGAATTGTTTTATGAATACAGGATTCCATAAGCTAGACAGTTAACGCTGTGTCACAGAAAATAACATCTGCAATGTTGTGTCACAGAAAATAACATTAGATGTGCTTTCTTTATCTATAAGCTAATATTTCAGTTCAGTTTCTTCAAAACATAATGAAAGTTTATTTAGAGTCAAAGGTACTGCTATTTCTTAAGGCTACCTTCTAATGATTTTACCTTCATTATCCCCACTGACAAATTAACTATTTAGCCCCAGAAGACCCCAACTGATGCTCAACAAGCCTGTATTAATAGCAGCAACAAAAGCACTAGTGTATTTAGAGAGTCAAATATATACTGCTTGTATAAACACAAGTTGCCAGACTCAACATTTGACAAACAATAACAGGTCACAAAGTCACTGATATACAAGAAGACACATGAGACAGGGACTGATATCAATGAAGGAAAGTCAATCACACATCATACAGTGACCTCTACTCAGGATGAGAAGACACACGGACAAGTATACATGAAGGAGAGACAGTCATACATGACACACTGACTGGTATCCATGAAGGAGAGACAGTCATACGTGACACACTGACTGGTATCCATGAAGGAGAGACAGTCATACATGCTACACTGACTGGTATCCATGAAGGAGAGACAGCCATACATGACACACTAACTGGTATCCCAGAAGGAGAGATAGTCATACATGCTACACTGACAAGTATCCATGAAGGAGAGACAGTCATACATGCTACACTGACAAGTATCCATGAAGGAGAGACAGTCATACATGCTACACTGACTGGCTGCCTTCTTTAATTACACCACAAGTGGTACAGGGATTCCCTATTTGCATATTACCTCATTCTTTTTGACAAGCATGTTTTTGTTGTTTTCTTGTGACCATTCTCAGGCAAAACTACTCCTGTTAGATTCCAGGCTGCATTGTTTCTAATCAATATATTTCCTAGAACATAACATAAAAATAGAAGATAATATACAAACAGACAACAACCTGAAGTAATGATACACTATTCGTGAACATTTACATAATTTTTTCCCCACATAAATGAGGTAACACTGGATATATTAAAGGTTTAGAATGAAAGGATGACTTGCGCTGTGATTTTAGGTGAGGAAGAGTTTCGCAATTCATTGACTTCACTCTCTTGCCCTAGTGAGTGGCGAGACGAATCAAGATGTCTGGAGATGAACACAGGTGCAGTAGATGATCAGGGCTTCTTAGGTGACTTGACGTGCTCTATCCACAGAGCTTGCTGGTAGTCACCTTTTTGTCCATTAAACCAAGGTTGTTTCATCTGCACACTGGATATAGTACTGTTTTATCAGACACTTTCACACAGATAAAAGTACAGTAGATAGAGTGATGGCTTGCAACAAGATATCCTCACACAGATGACAGAAAGGTTGATACAGCACTGACTTAGCTTGTAATTTTTGTTCATACAGAAGACAGTACAATAACAGTAATTATATCATGTAGCTCCTTAACATAGACAACAGCACAGTAGATAGAGTACTAGCTATGGCATACATTTCCTTCCAGGGAGGCAATTCTGGCTTACAATGTGCTTTACTTACATAGATGGCAATTCTTCTGGCTTATCATGTACTTAGCTTACACAGATGACAACACAGTAGAATTCTTGCTTACCAGGTACTAACTTTCCTTACAGCGATGCCAACATAGAAGAGTACTGGCTTACCATGTACTTTCCTTACACAGATGACAACACAGTAGAATTCTTGCTTACCAGGTACAAACTTTCCTTACAGCGATGCCAACATAGTAAAGTACTGGCTTACTAGGTATTTTGCCTACACTGATGGCAACATAGTAGAGTACTGGATTACCATGCATTTACCCTGGATTACCATGTACTTTTCTTAAACAGATGGCAACATAGTAGAGTACTGGACTACTAGGTTCTTTGCTTACACTGATGGCAACACAGTAGAGTACTGGTTTACCATGTACTTTGCTTACACAGATGGCAACATAGTAGAGTCCCAGCTTACCCTGTACTTTCCTTACACAGATGGCAACATTGTGTAGTTCTGGCATACCACATACTTTCCTTAGATGGCAACATAGTAGAGTACTGGCTTACCATGTACTTTCTAACAAAGATGTCAACATAATAGAGTAATGATTTACTGTGCTTTTTGATCATTTGATCAGAGGATTTGATCATTTACATAGACGGTTCAGTGTCAAGAGGCAAAAGAAGTGCTTGGGGCTTTTTAGCAAAAGTTAATGGTCGACGTTTGGTGCAGCAGAGCCTAGCATATGATACCACAACATCCAGCTTAAGAATGGAGGTGGAGGCGGTCACTACAGTTTTCCGCTGGCTAGAGAACACGACACACACATTGTAATTGTAACTGATTCAGAAAGCATGCTGAGGAAGATCAGAACAGGTATGCTTCGTGCAGAGTGGCATGCTTCGCTGCGGAGGACACGAGTGAGGAGTATTGTCTGGATTTTTTCACCGGGTTACGCCGGTGTGTTGGGAAATGAACAGGCGGACAGACTGGCTGGCTCTGCACAACTTGGTGGAATACTGCTACATGATAGGGCAGACGTGGTTAGTGCCTTGTGGGAGAGCGTGTACAATGCGGAGGAGCAGATGGATCACCACAGTTTGGTGAGATTGATGCAGTTGGGGGTGACGAGAGGTTCTGGCAGAAGCTCAAGGCTCAGAGGAAAGGCAAGACAGACATTTAATCAGAAAGCTACTGGCACCATTAGTATCGGAACTCTTCGCTGGCTGCTGAAGATGGAGACAGAGCGCTTATGGGAATGCCCCGGGTGCTGTGATGTCGGTTCTTGAATTAAATCAAATCATTACTGTGCTATTTACACAGACAGCCACATAGCAAATACAGCATTAACTTACAACGCATGTTCCTCACAGGCGGACAAAAAAAAGACTTACAAAATCATATTTACTTACGTTTTGTAGCATAGAAAGGGTCTTTAAATGTTTCCCCCATGGAGATATATACATCACCCTCGGAAGGAATATTATCTTCAGAAAGTATTTCTGCTCCATCTTCAGTGAATATTCGTCGTGCAGCAAATGGCAAGCCAAGTTTTTCTGTTGCATTTTCCAGAAGCTAAAATCCATTATGTAACAGATAAATATGTGATCATAGTTGCCAAGATATTGAAAATATGAACAATGAACATTAAAAATATATATTATCTGACAGCAAATTTGTTCACAGAGAAATATTTGTTTTGCTGCAAAAGTCTTTGTAAAATTGAAACTGTGTTACTAGTTCTGACTTTCTGACTATTATGCTAATCGCTATGTCATTCTTTCACATCTAGCTGTATGTTATATTTATATGTTATCTTCTTCTTCCATCCTATAAATAACTGTACCTATGGTTGTAAGGATGCCACAGTCCTCTATCTTCAGAAACATATCATGCAAAGCGGTATCCTGTTTTTTTTTCTAAATGCTATTAACCAGATATTTTACAAAGCTTCACTTTGTGCTTTTAACTGTAAGCAAAGCAAAGCTAAGCCTTCAGCAAGCTGCAAAGATACTCACCAGTAAGATGTAAACTACAGTGAGAAAAAGAGTAATAATGTGCTATGTAGAACCTGCGTTGTTATATGCATTTGAAACATGGACAATATAGACAAACTGAAATACATTTACTTGCAGCAGAGTTACAGTTTTTGAGAAGAATGCAAAGAATACCAAGGAGTCACAGAAAAACAAATGAAGCAGTCCTCATCAAGACAGATGAAAGAGGTAAACTTACCAGAAAAACTAGATGTAGACAGTTTTGTTTGCTTCTGACATGTTACGAGAAGGAAAGGACTCAAAATCTTGGTGACAACTGGCAAGATAGATGAAAAAAGAGAAGAGAGGAAGGCAAACAGATTAATATCTTGATGGCTTTACCAGATGGATGGGTTGATACAGAACAATGACTTGATCCACGATTCTGATTGTTTGAGATGGCAAAACATGACAGCCTGCGCTGCTTGCCAGCACAGCACATAATGATGATGAAAGCAAAGCTTTTATTCCCACACCCAGAGGTGTATTGAGTATATGGTACTAGACCTCTCAATGGATGTTGTAGTTAACATAATGCCAGTCCCCTTTATTTCTTAGAAAATCTCCAGGTACCTCTTTTAGGCTTTGTCAATAAGACTGGAAAACATGATCTCCAGCCAGAGGGCAAGAATGCTAGCCACTGGGCTAGTGAGGCTCCCATTATAGAGAAGTTTAAACAGGGTAGACAATAAGGTTTAACAACACAAACTTGTGAGGTTTTACAACTGTCATGCACTTTTTTCCTAGTTTGGGAAAGACTGATTAATTCCATATACTGTTTAATGCTCTATTCTAGTCCTATAACTTGTATTTGTCTGTAATTAAGTCTGTTATCTGCTTTTGAAGCCAATACCTGGTAGTTTCTTTTAAACTGACATGAACATCAATCCCCCAAGTGCTTTTTTCACAACGAAGGTTGGCTGCAATGAATCACCAACACTCTAGTGTCTCTTATCCTGGTCATTGATTCTATTCCTAGCTTGTCTATAACTTATTTATTTGACTGATTATATTTGTGTGGTATATCTACGGCAGATCAGCAGGTATAAATAAGAACCATTTAATTTAATGAGAAAGCTGATCTCACACGAGCTGCTAACAACTCATCATCAGATGTTGTGTTAGATAATTGCCAACTTAAACTGCAGCCACTTACTATTTTTATGTTGGGAGCTGCCAAGTGGACAGATCTGTTTCTACTTCCATTAACAAATGCATTCACTCTGATCACATGTGGCTGTTTCCTAAAGAGTACTTTTGAGCCTGAAATTAAGAAATTGAAAGGATATATTCACAAACATTGTGATGAACAAAAAAGCAACACGCAACAATAATTGCAATAATAGTTTTGATCAAGGATCCCCTTCGTTGTCTTTGTATATTTTCATGTGCTCTAGTTTTCTTCTAAAGATCACAAAAGGAAAATTTCAGCACACTGTATTGTCCATCTCTCAGAAAGACTCATATGTGTGCAAACCAAAATCACACTTTACAAACATTTATTTATAAGTGATTCTCTAAATTTAAAATTCATTCTGGGCAGTTACCTATTTGGCTTGCTTTATTTTTCCAATTTCCAAATCATCTTATTCAAATACTTAGGATAAATACACTAACATTTTGTTCAAAATAGACTAATGTACTATGACTGGACAACAAGTATCAGCATATCTACATTACAGGGACTCACATAGATATACTGTCCGGGATATACAGGAGTGCACGGAAATTAAAGAGCAGATTTTCTGGCTACCAATGCGATAGCTTAGGGAACACTTGTATTGGAAAATGGAGACATTCTGAAGACCATTTATGAACGAACACTGACAGAAGAATGTGTGAATGAGGAATTGTGTACAGGTCAGGCAATGAGGGACATAAGAGAAAAATGGAACACTGAGTTTATAATCAGTGTGCTTCAGGAGCGGTCAGTGTCTTCACCTTAAGATGTTTGCTGCCAGACTGAGCACCTACTAGTATGCCCAGTGTGCTACGATGTCAATTCTGTAATCAGTAAGTGTGTAAATCCCTAAAGCTGTAATGTTCTCAACTAATTACTACGTTTCTGGCCAGGATATAGAGCCTATTCCCATGAGATGATGAGCTGCAGAATTGAAAAAAGTCCATGATGAAAAGCTGGTAGATTATTCTACCTTCTCAGAGTACTGCTATTATTGTGATTAAAGCTAAACCACTAAGTTATCCTTACAAGTTGTAAGAAATAAAACAATTACATCCAAAACAACATTTACAATATAAGCAGAATGATAATAATTGAAAATGCCAAGATAACAAAAGTTAAACCAAGTCAAAATCAATAAATGGATGAAAATTTGACAAATACAAAGTTAGTTCTGTATCATAAAAACATTCAAGAATTACACAAGTTTCCTACAGTTATGAATACTGTTTGTACATTTTCCCATCAATTAATCTGAATCCAAACATACCTCTGGCTCTCAGAGAAACTGCAGACTGTGGCCTGTGTTGGAAAATAATAATAACAAATTTAAAAACAAATAGAGATTATAATAGAGAATAAATATTACCACACTACAGTTGATGAATGTCAAACTTACGGCAATATATAACAATGAAGTGACAGCAAACCAAAAATTATTATAATACATGATAATTGCTGTTTATCTAGTTTACATTCAGCCAACTCATGTTCTATAATATCTATTTTTCTTAACTTTAATCTGTAAGTACAATGGACTAAATATTTTTAAAGGCATTCAATTCTTCAACCGGAATGTTGGTTGTTTCATACTCATTGTAAAAATTTACCAGTATCTAGTAAGGCAGAGAAAATAAAATGACAATACCTGAAACGTCGGACAGGAGCACTAGCTGGTCGTCTAGAGTGAACTTCCCTTGGAGTAGAAGGATCCCATAATGACAAATCAGCAATAAATTTAGCATCAATTTTAGGTTTTCCCAATGTAGAGGAACCTTGTACAGTTGCTGATACAGGTCTGTACCTTCCAGACACAAGGTGAGTGTGGGGAAGTCTCTGGAGGTAAGGTGACTGAAGAATGCTGAAATATTGACATTTGCAAATATTTAGCTTGGAATCGTATATTACAGTAACATGTAATTCTGCTTCTTTTTCTTCTTCTTCCTGTTCACCAGATGTAAACTTTGGTGCAAAGTTCTGGTTGTTCATCAACTTCTAGACTACAGACATGTTCCAGAACTTCAGTTTTGCATGCACATCCATTCTAGAGTTCTGTGTTTAGAGATCATGGAGAGAACTCATTCAGTTGAGTATCTAGGAGTACTACTTGATCACAGTTTTAATCACAGGATGCAAAAATAAAATACAGCATGCAGAACGATGTGTTACCTCCTTGATCAACCATGGAAGTAAGAACAGTGATCTGCTGAGCATGTGCGTATCTGCATATCTGTGCCGATACACACCACTGCACAGTGAGATTCGCAGCAAGAAGGGTAGCAGGTGAAAAAGAGATAAATCCTTGGTGGGTCAGGCTGAAGACATTATTCAATAAGTTTCTTCAACTAAGGACATAGAATGTCGCAAGGAATGGGTACAAGTGCCAGCAGAGTGGGGTACATCATTTTCGGTCTGCATAAAACTGAAAAATTCTGCTGATGGAAGTGGAGTTGTCTACATTGATGGATCTGTCATTCTATACACACAAAGTTCATGGGCTTTCAAGGGAAAACTGTAAAAGAAGGCAGCGTGGCTTTTGCCTCAACTCCAATTAGTCTGACTATGGAGGTGATGGCAGAAACCACAAAAAAAATGATGTGGTCAGAGACACAGCATTTTTCCCATGCAGGCTTTATAAGTGGTTCTATTAGCATGCTTAAAAAGACAGAGACAGGATGATTTAGAAGAAAATTATTGGAGTCGCTGAGGAAATCTCGTCTGATAGGAATTATTTTCATTTTGTACCAGAACATTCTGGGGTAAGAGGGATCGAATGAGCGGACTGGCTTGCTGGGAGGGCCACAGTAGGTACATGAAAAGCAAAGATCAGGCTGACATTCTCGATACTCTCAAGGAGGCAAGATGAGAAGATGATTCAGAAGAAGACAGTGAGTCAGCAACACTCAAAAGACTTCAAGAACTTCAGGTCAAAAGAGGTGTCATCAAACATGAACACTATTCAGGTAGCCATAGAAGAATAGTAACCCAACACAGAACTGGTGTTATTAGTTGCTATATGCTGGGGAATATACTGAAGATGGGATCCAAACACTGATGGATTTGTCCGATGTGCAGTGAGGATAATCTATTGATTTACTAACTAACCAACTAAAAATCAACTTTGTTTCCTTTAAAGTAAGAGTGAATCTCCCTAAGAGACGGGGAACCAACAGTCTGCTTATAAATAAGCCAGATCTGTAGTGCAGAAAAATTACGGAACATGAATAAAGTCCACAAACGGACAAAATGTCAGAAGTGGATGAACAACTAGAACTTTCCTCCTGAGCCAGTGAATGTGAAGAAGGAGAAACATTTAATAGTCTGGTAAAATAACGTGTACAAACATACAAGGAGACAATATCCATTTCTTACTGAGAAGTAAACAAATACTAATAAGAAAATGCGGTAATGTGTAGAATAAGAAGTAAAACCAAAGGAGGTACTGGACATGATCAGCAAGACCAGCACAAATAAATAAAGGATGAATCTGCAGCCTAGCAAACATATGAGGCTGATGAGCCAGGATCACATTGAGACTAACATAAACCTTTGCATACACTCTGTATAGTTAGTAAAGTATATGTTTCTAAACCCTACACTGAAGCCTGTTGGTTAAATGGTGCCGCACCATTTCCATTGTTCTTAGTGTTTATTTGCGTAAACTCCAGTGGAAAGTTCTGGTTGTTTGTCCTCTTCTGGACTTTCATCTTGTTCTAGAACTTGACTGTTCTGTGCACATTCGTTTTACAGATCTGGGCTACCTGTGTACAGACTGTTAGTCCCTAATTTACTGTCTTTTATGACATGTTTGTTAGGGAGGCTATTCTCTTCTCCCAAAATGGGGTTCCGGAACCCACACAAAAGCTGCACCATTTATCTAGGCCATTTGGCACTAAAACATGAGGGATATGGTCAATATTGTGCCACCTGCCTTTACCTCTCAGAGCATTTTCTGGTACAAATTTGTTAAGCTAGATAACACAGGAGTACAAGCCTATTTTTTAAATTCACATCAATGAGGTTTCAAGCACAAGAGCATGGGGTCAGCAAGCAAGTGTATTAGCCATAGTTCTACCAGGGTTCTGTAATAAATACATGTAAACCCAAAACAATATTATAGAATGAAGATACTATATGCTCAAAAAGCAAAATCATTGTAGCTTACTGTTTTTCTGGAACGCTGTCCCTTTTCTCTCGCTTCATATTTTCCAAATACTGATGGACTATTAGGTCTTCATATGTTATCATGTCTGATCTGGTTTTGTTAAACAGAGATGGTGCAGGAGCTGGCTGCTTAGACCAGTCAGGCCTTTCATCCATGTTATGATAAGGTCTGAAGCACATACAAATAAAACATTCATCAACACTACATAAAGACAAAACTAATGCTGGAAGCTGAGAACCTCATCTTTGTCATAGTGTAAAACCACACAAATAGTTATATATTGTCTTTTCTTTATTATCCTTCTTTATATGGGCAACAACTTTTGGTACACATCAGTTGCTTTGTTGTATTGGGTTAAAAAAAAGAAAAGGTTTTGTATTTCGAGTTTTCACAACAGTCCTCTTCAACTGGCAACCCGCATAAGCCTAACAATTGGCCCCGGGATCATTGCCAGTTGTACTTTATTAATGATCTTCCTAGGGGATTGGGAAGGGGGGGGGGGGGGTGTCAGGCCTCTGGCCAGTGATGATCGCCAAGTTTCAACATTTTGGCCCCTACGAAAAATTTAGTTGAATAGCTCTGCTTTACAAGTTAACACTTTTTTTTTATGTAAAAGTTAACGGATTATTTTCAACACTGAGGGTACTGGGAATATCATGCTAACTCTATATTTTTACAAATGTTTTGCAGTCATTAGGTGATTACCCAGGCTGTC